ACAATTCCACAAGAATGTGAAAGATAAGTAGAGTTCTTGGTGTCATACAGCAGCAGCACTGCTCTCCTGATTTAGTAGTGCTTTCCTTTTCCATAAGAAGTGGTCTAAAGGAACATGACTACAGTATTTTTGGGTCACTGCGGAAATTGTGTCCAGCTTGAATGCAAGTTTCAAAGAGTATAATTTTAATGAAAGTTCACCTTGCAATAAGAAGATGTTTGTGCCCACTTTCTCTTGCCAGAATCAACTCACTTGGCTAATAAATATCAGTTTTATCCAAATACCACATTAGCTCCTTTGCCAGGACATTCAGCTCCTCTTAAATAGAATAGAAGCTCTTTCAGTGCTTGGTTGTATCCTGTCAAACAAGACATTCTTTCAGCAGTCATTGTCATCCTGAGATTCTTCCCAAGGCTGAAGGGAGCTCATTATATCTATTTCAAAGCAAGGTTTATCCTTCTTTAATAGGAGAAGAAATGTTTCCCTGGCATTTGAAGAGCCACCATCCCCAGACATCATCACATTCCCAAAGGATCAGTGCTGTTGAGTGCTGACATGCAGACTAGATAGGTGACTGTTACTCCTTTCCTGCCTGTGCTGGTTCTGCCCATGATGCATCTCCTACAGGTTCCTGAGCAGGGAAGGTGGAGAGGCCGGTGCTGATCACTTTTCCCTGCTGTCCAGCGATAGGATGTGTGGGAGGCCACATCTGCAGTGATGTGTCCAGTTCTGGGCTCCTCAGGACAGGAGGGTCATGGAGCTCCTGGAGCAGGTCCAGAGGAGGCTGCGGGGATGCTGAAGGGATGGAGCCTCTCTGGGAGCAGCAAAGGCTGAGGGAGCTGGGGCTGTTCAGCCTGCAGAGCACACCCGGAGAGGGGCCCTCCCCAGGGTGTGTCAGGGGCTGCAGGGAGGGGGCAGAGGATGGACCAGGATCTGCTGGGGGGGCCCAGCAATGGCACAGGAGGAACAGGCAGGAACTGATGCCCAGGAAGCTCCAGCTGGACAGGAGGAAGAACTTCTTTGCTCTGCAGTGACCCAGCACTGAACAGAGACCAGAGAGGGTGTGGAGTCTCCTCCCTGGGGACATTCCAGACCCCTCTGGAGACAATCCTGTGCCATGTGTTCTGGGATGGCCCTACCTGAGCAGGGAGGTGGGACCAGATGGGGCACTATGGTTCCTTCCAGCCTGACCCAGTCTGTGATTCTGACAGCTGTGTCAGGGAGGTTCAAACTGCACATTAGGAGACATCTCTTGACCAAGAGGTTGGTCAGACACGGAACAGGCTTCCCAGAGAGCTGCTCAGTGCCCCAGGCCTGTCAAGGTTTAGGAGACACTTGGACAGTGCCCTTAATAACACACTTTAGCTTTTGGGCAGCCCTGAAGTGGTCAGGCATTGGACTGATTGTTGTAAATCCCTTCCAACTGAAATATTGTATTCCACCAGTTTCCCAACCAGAACTTGGCTTTGCTGTATGTAGTGTCCAGTTCACTTTTGAAATACCCTTCAAAATTAGCAGCATCAGTTGATGCCTGCATTTCTGACAGTGGTTTAAGCGATAGGTTGCTGAACTGTTAAGTGTAAAAAACTGGTATTTGAGCTCTTGAGAGTGACTGGCTGAAGCCATTTGGGGGTTGCAGTTTGTCATTCTTTTTATCAGTTCTTTAGAACTTTCTGACACTTCTTTGAGTTCCTCGGGCTCGTAGTGAAGAAAATCTCTGATGTGGTGTGTCCTCTTTCATCTTCTCTGATCCAGAGAATTCCTATAATGATAGTGCCCATGGCTGTGTTCTCCATGCCAGTCAGCTCCATGAATTTTCTGGAAGGTTTCACTTGTCCCTGGAAGCTTTGGTGGTTCAGGAGGTGGTCTGAGCCTGCTGTGTCTCCGTTAAACTCACTCAGCTCGTGACCAGCAGTAGGTTCCCAGGTGTTACTTTCAGGTCACGTGCAGGATGCTGCCCAGTGGAGGCAGGAGATGTTCAGGCACTGGGGACTGGGATGCACCATCTGGAAGGTGCAGAACAAGCTGGCTATTGTCCATTTTTAAATGTGCTGGAGCAGGGTTCTGATGGGAGAGCACTGGGCTTGGGGCAGTGCTAAGGGCTGCCCCGTGTCCTCTGTGGAGGGGACAGTCTGCTGACCTCAAGTAATTCTTCATCCTTCACAACAGTGTAGGAAAATTAGTTTACTGGATATTTTAGCACATTAGTGGAAGAGGACTTTTTTAATATTGGAAATAAGATGGAAAAAACTGCTTTCTTGTAACAGCACAGGGCCAGCTTTCTAACAAACTTTCTTCTAGTAGATTTTTGTGAGAGATTTCCTTTCATGTTTTACTCCTTGATCCATGAGGTGAGAGTTGTGATGAAGCAGAGCATGTGAGCAGTGGCTGAAACTTCCACATCCAGCCATTACTTCTGACCTTTGGTGACTCTGGAACTAATTAGTTTGGAATTCAAAACTGGAAAATCTTCCTACTTTTTTTCATTAAAAGGCTTTTCAAGTATCTTAAGTTTGGCAGCCTGAACTGTGACATTGATTCAATCTGTTCCAAAGGGGTTTTCTAACAGAAATTACTTCTGTGAGTTTGGTTTTTTGATATCATAACCTGTATTTACAGCCTTCCTGTGTTCAGTGTTTTGCAGGAATGGGTAGATAGGGGAAATACTGCCTACAAAGGATTCTCAGTCTGAAAGAAGCCAGAGAATAGGTACATTTTTCAAGCAGTTTAATTCATAACTGAAGACACTACCTTGTGCTACTGCTGGGCTTGTTTTATGAGTTCAAAATAAGTTGAAGATAAAGGCAGAGTAAAAATAACAGCAAGGGTGAAAGTGAAAACAGAGATGGCAATGAAAAATCAGAGCTAGTATATGGCAAAAGATGACTGTCAGACAGGATTCAGCTTACAGAAGAGGACAGTAGTTGTGCTGCAGCACTTGGGAGCTCCCCTGCGACCTGTCAGGTACAGGGAGAGTGTTGCTAAAATGTGTGTTGGGACAGACACACATTGAGTATCCAGGAGGAGATCACTGAAAGGAAAAGCAGAGGCCAGACTGAGTAAGAAGTAGACTTACTTGTAGAATTAATTTGTTGAGAGGTTTAACTATGTGGAAAAGAAAAAAAAGGTTGCGGAAGTAGCTGTTGTTTGATCAGAGTAAGGCAGGTACCTGAAAATTATCAGAAGTTGTGGTGCAGAGTAACCAGAACTTGGCAATTTCAGAGGAATGGGGAAAACAAGTTTTCCAGTGCTCAGGGGCAGAAAGAGGAAATCATGAGAAGTGGAGGTGAATCCGTGAAAGGAACCTGTCTGTCAGTGCAAACTGAGCACTGAGATCTGCAGGGAGCACAGGGACAGCAGTGCTCAGGTGTAGCCTGCCCGTAAGATCCTTGAATAGTGCTTAAAAGGAGGCAGTTCCCTGACTGGTCTGTCCCCCACACCACCATAATCCTGTTTCTGGAAGCAGTCACCACTTCAGCAGATTGTCCTGGAGCTTTGCAGTCTCTGCTTTTGCTGCTGCCATTTGTTCATCCGTCAGTATTGACCATGTGCTCGTTAGGGTGGCATATCCACAACCATAGAGAAGGGCCTGGCAAGAAAACTTGTCCAAGTCCCAACTGACAGATTCAGAAAGGGCCAGAGAGATCTGGACAAGCTGATGTAATGGATTGGGAGCAGGAAAGGAAAATGCTTGGGAAAGAAATGAAGTAGCAATAGTAGAAGACTGTGTTGTATTAAGTTATTGAGGAGAACTGACCTGGGGACACAGAAGAAACCATCACGTTTTAAGGCACATCCCAGAAATGTGAACATCTATATTTAATCCCCTCAAACAAATTCAGTTAGCAGTGACCTCTTTTTCTTCTCCATCCACCCTGAGAACCTGGCTGCCCACTGTCACTGTTTCCTGGGCTGGCTCCATGCAGGGAGTAGAGTGGGAACGTGATCTCTCTGGAGTTCCTCGGAAGGGCAGTGGTGCTGCTGAGAACTGGGTCACTGCTGCTGCCTGCCCAGAAAGCTGGTGCAGCCTCAGAGACAGACAGCAGAGCTGCTATCTGTGAGGAAGTGACAGAGATGCAGAGAGATCTGAGCAGAAAAAGAACCTTTGCTGCCAACAGCCAAAATCCCGTGTGGTGCAGGGCAGGGTGTTGGTTCTCTGGGGTGTTGTGGGTCTGAGCACTGCAAATGCCCAGGACATTTCTGCTGGTCCCTGCAGCTTCTCCCGTGTGCTGGCATTTTGCTGTGCCCCACTGAGTCCCACAGGCTCTGCTCCCCCTGCCAGCTGGCAATAATGCTGGCTGACAGGTGAATCTGCCCTCAGGAGGTGAGCAGGGAGGAGCTGTAGGGCTGGGGGCTGAGCTGCTGTTGGTGTGGAATGTGCTGGGGGAGGATTGTGCTGCTGTCCCCTGAGGTGACCCCTCTGGTGCTGGAGTCTGCTGTGTGCGATCACAGGTGAGCCTGGAGGAACTCTGGCAGTTGGACAGCAGCTTCATAATGCTGAAGGTGTGTGCAGAGACCCTTTGGGGGTTTTTGCTGTTACCAGTAGTGAAGGTGAGGGGTGACAGAAATTCCTGTTCCTCTCAGAAGCCAGGGGTAGAGATGTGCTGTTTTGAAGGTGACATGAGAAAACAGGGCCCTTGAACAAACAGTCCCAGCCTACCCCCTCCTCTAGCTGTTAGTCTCTTCCTGCCTCATACCAGGTTCTCTCAGGAGCTGCTCTCTTGTGTAAATCAGCTGGTTTTCCCCTGGAGAGGTAAAGCTTGAGAATGCCTCATGTCCTGTTACCTTCACTCTTCCTGTAAAAAATCTTGGTTTATGTGTTTTCAGAAGGAATCTGCAGGGAGGAAAAGAAAATGATGGGATTTTCATATTTTCCCCAAAATACTTCTACTTACATTTGTGTAGGTTTGGTCTGAGCTCAAATAGAGTTTTAGCTCCAACACTAATAAACGTTTTATTAAATGTTTTGATGCTATATTTTTCTTCTCTTTATTTTCCAGGGCAGGAAAACCACCACCTGGCTTACACCTGGATGTAGTCAAAGGAGACAAACTGATTGAGGTATGGAAATAGGGTTTGATGGGTTTGGTGTGTCATGTACATAGGCACCAGCAGTAGAACATTTCCCAGCGTTTTCCACACTGACTCATAAGTATTTCCTTTCTCTCACGTATTCATTATTTTCAAATCAGTTTGTTTTGCTCTGAATCTTCAGAATGAAGTGACTTTTCCCTTGCCTGTGCTTTAGGGCAGCCTCATGCCATGCAGGGCTTTCGTGGTTTATCTCCCAGTTACCTGCACTGTTTGAAGGGATCCAGAACTGCAGGGCTCAGCGAGCAGTGACACGATTATTGAGCATCAAACCTGCCCTAGTCAGAGACACAAAAAATAAAGTGTTTGTAAGGGAGGCTCCAGGCTTTGCAGAGCCTAATTTCTTGCAAACTTCATTTTGGACCAAAGTTGACATTTTTTTCTGTATAAGAAGGGAGGTGCCAGACTGCAGCAGAAGGCACGTTGTCCTAGGAACTTCAAGAGCAGGAATTGAATAACGTGGGTTGAGAAATCTCAAATACAGAAGAGTAAAAGTAAAAGCTCTTCCCTTTGTACCACTTGTTTTGAGAAGCCTGTCTGGTTAATTTTTTAATTTACAGTAAGGTTAACCAGGCACCCTGTATCTGGCAGGAGTGCTGCCCTGTCCTACAGTAGGAAACACAGTTGGATTTCTCCTCCCACATTCAGGATCTGTGAACAGCACAGATACAGCAAGTTATTTTTATTACAGCAGAGGAATTTGTCTGTTATGCACCTATTCTCTATTTCATATTTTGTCTTACATCACACTTAATGAATAAAGAAAAGTCTCTAACAGGGTTGACAGAGAGGACCCAAAGCAGTGAATGTATTTTAGCTGTGCAGAGACTCCTGACTTGCAGTTGGCTAAAAAAGAAATGTTTCTGGCCAGGAAAACTTTGCAAAGCTGAGCCAACTTTTCTGAACAAAAATTGGAAAATTAAGAAATCAGTGTTAGATCACGATTTAGGTAGTTTAAAGTCTTGGCTGGTATTTAGTGTGTGCTACCACAGAAGCATTAAGAGACAGTATTAAGTGTGTTTGGCAGAACAGATTTACTGTTTGGAATTTGGTTATCAGTATATGCTTTGCTTAGGAAAGCAGATAGAGATGTCACAAATAGGTGTCTCACAAATAAACTTGTGTTTTCTCAGGCCAGAGACCAGTAAAATGAGGCTTTTCTTTATAGTCTGTTGCTGTTTTGAGAGAGTGCTCTTGCTCTGGGTTTAAAGACAAGCAATTGTCAAAGCCAGTCTTGACCTAAGGGATCTTTGTCCAGCCTTAATTGGAAAGAAAATAGGTACTGACACACAAATACTGCACATCCAGAGCAGTTCCCTAGTCCTACAAGATGTGCCTGAGCTAGCTCGTACCAGGACTCTCCTTCACTAACACTATGGCCCTCAAACCCTTTGCACTGTGCTTGTCTTGGAACCCTGGGCTGTGTTTTCAGCCTCTCCTGCCTCTGTTTCGTGTTCAGAATCATGTTTGAGCTCAGAGAGCTGCAGTAGGGTTGTTTCTGAGCTCAGCCTTCTCAGTGCCATCCTGGCAGCAGCACCTGGGGGAGGGATTGTGCTTGGCACTGAGTTTTCCAGTATTTCTTTCAGGCTGTGAATGAGATTCAGGGAGCAAAGCTACATGGCAGTGACTTTGGGGTTTTTGGTATGTGGGCAGGTGGCCAAACATAGCTTTGGGGTTTTGGAGGATTATTCTGTGAAGTTTTTCACGTCATGTTTCTTTTAGATTTTTGAGCATGGACAGAGCTTTAGGATAAAGAGTTGACATGGAGCTCCCTGCTGAATTGCTCCTCATGTGCCAGATGAATGTCCATCTCAGGAGTCCTGGTCAGGGCTGAAAAAAAGGGCAAAGTGCCATATGGAAGCTGAGGATGCACCACTGTTTTTGGCAGTGGATGAAAAAATGTTTATAAATTGACATTCAGGACCGTGGTCCTGGGAGGCCCAAGGTGGGCTTGGGGTCTCTGCTTTGGAAAAGTGGGTGGTACCAGCATCCCAATTCCCTCTTCCTACCATCAGTTCTGGATAACCTGAAGAGGTTCTCTTTGCTGCCATGCAGAGCACTGTCAGCAGCCACTGCCAGTGTCCTATCCAGGTACTTTGAGGGTCAGTGGAGGCTGGGATCACACAGAGGTTGGGGATGCCTGTGGAGTTGTGTTCTACATCCCGATGTCACTGAGCTCCATGAGGGCACAGCTCTCCAGGGCAGGACGTGCATGTGCCAGAGGCCTGGCTGGGTGTTCCCCTGGGGCTGCTGAGGGCAGGATGGAAGAGCTGGCTGGGTGAGCAGCCCCGGCAGGCTGTCCCGTGGAGCACACACACCTGCTTGTGCAGCTGCTTTGGGCCTTGCACTGTGTACGGGTCATGGCTTCAGTCCTCTGGTCTGGGGTGGTTACCTGAAACAAGGGATCTGTGCAGCACATGAGCAGCACTTGGATGTGATCCATGTGTTTCCCTGTTCGGTACAGCTGGCAAGGAGTTCTCCTGTGTTGTCTTTCCTGGCAGTCAGCAGTAACCAAGGCAGAGGGTTGTTAAATCCTGGGGGTTACTGAGCACTTGGTACTAACCGAGCCATCGGTGCCCCAGCCTCATGCAGAGGCCTGAGGGTCACCCTGTGATCGCTGGGTCTGCAAAGTGCAACAGCAACACACGCCATGCAGTGTTTAAGCTCAGTGTGTGAAGGAAGACACTGGGTTATAGCTCAGAGGCACAGAACATTTTGGAAATGTTATCTTGAAGTTGATAAAATTATTTTCTCTGATGGTGATTTTGTTGCATTTCCAGTTTATGAATTTGTGTCTTTGCAAAACTCTTGAAGTACTGTCCAGTCAGGGCAGTATTGTTTGTGTGTAACAGCTGCAAATGAAAACTTAACAGGATGCCTTTGGTGTGAGTTGTGGGCAAGAATAAGAAATTGTTTGGCCAATTTTTATGGTACTTGAAATCATGAGATAACTGCTTGTGGAACTGAGCACTGTTTGTGGAGGAATGAATCAGCTTCTGAAGATCCACTTGTTCTTGTCAGAGCTGTGTTTACACAGGACTTTTTTTCAAATTCATGATAAAAGTTAATGCTCGTCTACCTTACAACATGGAATCATAGAATTCCTTAGTGCAAAGGTGTTGAGCAGGGAAGAGTCAGATACTGAACTGAGTAAGGAACTGCAGAATATGGGACATGAATCCAATGCTGGGAAGTTGAATCCTCAGAGAACCTAACCAGGCTTCCTCAAAAGATGTGTTGTAACCAACAGTTATGGTGTTCTTGGATCAACAGCTGTATGAAACAAGTCTGATCCCAAGGGAAAATATCAGTAAGACTCATGGAAAAATGGTTAAGGCTTGCAGGGAAAAGCCTCACAAGGGCACACTGGCATGTAGAGTGTACAGGGAGGAGGGGGATGGATCTGTTTACAGGTGGGATAAAAAGAGTAAAATAAAATTCAACCAGAAAGGATGGAGGATACAAGGTACTGGTTTAAGCTCTTCACCTGTGGCTTATACTTTCTGGTTACCTCTGAGGGGTCTTGTGAAAACCAGCATTTGTAAAGAGACAGAAAGTGCTGATAAAGTGGCTGGGTCAGGGCAGAACCCAAAAGACTCAATATGATTTCTCATGTTTTTAATCTGATTCAGATTATTACACTGAGGCTTTGGGCTGTGCTGCTCTGCACCAAACACAGATGGATTCAGGGGAGACAACTGCATGTTTTGCTTGTCCCAGCTGGAGGAAAATCACTTACATTTTGCATTTGCACCTCATTTGTCATGAGACCACGTAGTTGCAGGTGAATTGCCAATTAAGCTGTGATTGTTGGCTTATCAAATGACATGTGGACTCACAAAGAAAACTTTTTTTACGTTGTAAGCCTAAGTATTGGCACTCTTGTGGATTTTCTGCCAGTTTATGTATCACTGAGGAGACTGACAAAGTTGTTTTTCTTTCTAGTTGTTATTCTTTCTAGTTGTTATTCTTTCTAGTTGTTATTCTTTCTAGTTGTTATTCTTTCTAGCTAAAATAATGTTTTCATGGAGCTGCTTGAAATTTAAATATCTTGTAGTGCTGGTTGAAAGTGGCCAGAGGTTGAGAAGTTACTTGGTTTAATAGATGTCAAGAGCTCATAGATACACGCACTTTCATCACCTAAATACTCTTATTTTACAAAAGAAGGACAAAACATGTGAGTCAGTAGATTTTATAAAGCATTCACTGTCGTGAACTGGTGCTTGTGTACCTTGAGCTCCTGGGGAATAAAACCTTTAACTAAGGGACCAATTAATTGTAAATCATCCTGATGTGTACAAGGGTGGAGTCAGGTTGTTCAGTTAATTCTTCTGGTGACCTAAAAGAGTGAATAAACATACAGAAATAAATGCTTATTACTGAATACCAGATGGTGAGAACTTGCAGCATGGGGGCTGACAGATGTTCAGCAGAACACTGGAAAATCCAACCTGGAAAATAGAGAGCAACCTTGGGGAAAAACTGGGAAAAAAACAGTGGGGAAGTGACGTGACTATAGCAGTGCTAAAGCCTTGAAGTTATCGTTGGTGGGCAGGTAAATAGATGTGACTTTGCAAGGTGATCCGTAGTAGAAGCTGAGGTCTGTGGTGGGATTTTTGTCCTTGCAGATAAGGCAGAGGAGTATAAATGCTGTGTCTTAATTCAAGCCGTGTCCTTATTTTCTGTATGACTTGGTGGTGCCACAGAATGAGGAACTCTCTGGGTGGTTGTTGTGTCAGTCTGACAGCTCAGAACAGCCCCAGAGCAGCCACCTGGACCTACTCAGATACACTGACTTTTGTAGCTGAGCATGTGGTTTATACCTGGCAAACCTGAGGAGCAAACACCTGCTGACTGGAACGTGCTGCCAGAGAGGGGCATCCTCAGCATCCCCAACCCCACTGCCTGTAAGCCACTGCTTCCCTGGAGCAGCGGGACACCAAAGGCAGACTGAGCCAGTCCACTCAAACAGGGAAAGATCACAGGAAAAAAAGGTTTTGCCACCTGAAAACTTGGCTCAAAAGTGTGCTCAAATGGCAGTGAGACTGAGGAGAGGACTGAAGCGCTGGGAACGGAGGGAGGGGGAGAAATCCATGTGCTCAAGCAGGCAGAATGCTAGTTCATCTCAGAGCAGTTCATGAGGTTTTCTGATGGAAAATGTATCCTCAGCATTCCTTTGATGCTGTTGAAACGTGGGGCTTTGTTAAATGTTTCAAAAAGCAGGAGAAGCCTGTTAACAGGTGTGTAACACACTGCCAGCCTTTACCTTGTTCAGCTTGAGCAGGAAAATACAGGTTAGATGAGGTTCTTGAGAGCCAGTGAGAAGGTTCTCCACCTGCCCTGCTCAGGTGCTGCAGCATTCAGGTGCAAGAAGTTCCCTCAGCAACAAATACTGCAGGACTTTGTCAACATGTCCCTCACTTCATAGAGATGGTTTATGTAACTTATATTAAGGTTTGTAACATCTTGTTTGAAGAAGAGATTAGAACTAGGATGAATAAAGAAGAAATGCCTAAAATTAACGGTTTACTTGAATAGACTAATATGGATTCCGATCACAGCACATATTCAGTGTAGTTTTGCATCTTTTTACCGGAGATCACTGAGTGTGGGTTCCTGCCCTGGACAGGGTCCAAGGTCAGCAATCAAGGAACATGTTGAAATCTTTGGGTCCAGATGTGAGAGAGAATCTCTTGTGTGAGACAGTCTCATGATTTGAAGAGGCTGTCTTGTGTTGGCTGGTAAAGAAGGAAATAACTGGGACTCTCACACATTCATCTGTTCTGATTTTGCTAAGAGCAGATTTGAGTTTCTGTTTTTAACAGTACCAGACTAAACTGAAATATTGATGAGCTGTTGATGCTTCATTTTGAATTTGCTCTGTTTATTCATGTTCTTGAATTTTTTCAGGAAGATCCAAAAGATTCTAGGAGTCTAATATGCTTCTCTGTTTGACATTCTACTCAGAAACTCATCATTGATGAGAAGAAATACTATCTCTTTGGGAGAAATCCTGATCTGTGCGATTTTACCATTGACCACCAGTCTTGCTCTCGGGTCCATGCTGCCTTGGTCTATCACAAACATCTCAAGAGGGTTTTCCTCATAGATCTGAACAGCAGTAAGTAGTGTGGCATTTCACCAGACAGAAGTGCAATATTTCAGTGCTTAAGCGTTCTGAATCTGAGACACTTTTTCCTCTCCTGTTGTTGTTTACACTGTGTGGACAGATGGATATAATCGGAATTTGCATCCTAGGGAAAGATGGGTGAGGGTTAGAGCAAAGGAGTGTTTGCCCAGTCAGCTTACAGCTGCCTCACTGGTTATTTAAAACATTTCTACATCCTTTAAGAGGCAAAAGGAGAGGAGGAAAGCAACTTGGCCTTCCCTTCACAATTTTAGCAAAGCCTTCTCTGCTGAGGATGGTTTCCCAAGGTCTGAAACCTGTCATGGGGTTTTTTCCACTGTTTAGACATAGTACACTGGGACCTGCAGGAATACAGGAAGTAAAGGGTGTTTATAATTGATTTCCATGACTTTTTGAGGACTCCTGGTGTGTGTTGTCTCAGTTTGTGAGATGATGGGTAGAATGTACCCAGCTGATGCTCTCAGCAGTACCTCAGTGCCTTGTACCTCGGAACAGTTGTTACAGTTTCTCAGTTCTCAAACTGGAGCTGGAATACCCTGAGCCCATCTGGTGACTAACAGACTGCTTTGCATTTTGACACCCTCAGCACATGGCACGTTCTTGGGCCACATCCGCTTGGAAGCCCACAAGCCACAGCAGATCCCCATTGACTCCACGGTGTCCTTCGGAGCCTCCACCCGCGCCTACACCCTGCGGGAGAAGCCGCAGACGCTGCCGTCGGCGGTGAAGGGTGACGAGAAGATGGGTGGGGAGGATGAGGAGCTCAAGGGGCTGCTGGGCCTGCCGGAGGAGGAGACAGAACTGGATGTGAGTACGGTGGCATTTCCAGCTAGGACAGCATTCCCTGTGCAGAATCATGGAATCATTTAGGTTGGAAAAGACCTTTAAGATCATCAAGTCCAACCACAAACCTGACACTGCCAAGCTGTTACGACTCACCCCTGTAGGCGAGGGTTGGCACTGAATGACTGGTGTTTATAAAGACATATATACGTAGGGTTTATTTTAGGACAATTTGATTGCAATGGAAAGGAGGTCTGGAGCTGTTTGGGTTATTATTATCTGTAGTAATATAGCTAAATAAAAACATAAAACACTTAAAAAAATTTGTAAGAAAAAGAAAGGATGAGAGCAGAAAGATTTCACCACCTATGGATTCAGTGATGAAACTTGATTGTTGCAATTTTGATTTCCGTTGGCTGAAGTGACGGTCACAGACTTGATCTGTCAGGGGTGGGGGAAGCCCTTGAAACGCAAAGTCCAGTGGGTTAATGTGGGCTTAGGTTTACATGGGAGTGCCCAGGTAACTCCCCTGGGGGGGGAGTTGTTTTACACTGTCTGTTGCAAGCCTGTGGATCTGTTGCACCACTGTGGATCATGCACAGTCCTCTGGTGGAAGGCCCCAGAAAAGTGCCCTGGGGGCACTTCAGGGGTCTTTGATGGTTTATGACACCTTGCAAGACATGCAGGTGCCTCTCACATCAGCGTATTTGAGCCAGCAGTGCCTCAGCAAAAGGGATGAAAATCTTCAGGCCAGGTGTGAACATCCCAATATCTCCCCCAGAGCAGGAGGGGAGTTTTCACCCCTGAGCCAGTTGTGTAAGGGAGGACATTGCCATGGTAAAAAGCACTATCCCACCTCACAGGATGTGCTTCTTATCAACCTGTTCCCTTAACTATCTCAGAGCCCAGCTTGTCCCCCATGGTGGTGGGTGTTCACCTCTCTGCCCCTGGGCTGTTCCCTTGCACATCTTCAGCAAAGCACCCACTACTTTGGTAAAGGACCAATTGTTTAAGCCATTAAACATGACCATTCCAGTCCCTCACACAGGCCCACCCCTAAACCATGTCCTGAAGTGCCACATCTACATGTGTTTTAAATACCTTCAGGGATGGTGCCTGAACTACTTCCTTAGGTTTGATTTCTTAATTTCTTAGCCTTGAAGATCTTGGTCTGAGGTGTCTCTGCTGACCGATACACCTCAAGCATCTCATCTGCCATGATAAACCTGTGATCGTGCTGCTTCCCAGAGTCGGGGACATAATAATCTTAATATCCCAGTGGTCACCTCACCAAGGCTTGCCAGGGCAGACATGCTTCAGGTCCAATGGTTTCCCGAAATTCTTAGAATCATCAACCAGCTCGAGCAGGCCCAGCTGGAGCAGCTGCCCAGGATCGTGCTCAGTTCTGTGCAGAGACCCCGCAGCCTCTCGGGGCAGCTCATTGCAGCCCTGAAGCTCTGCTTCGTCCCTGGGGTCTGAAGTTGAAACTGAACAGTATCCTATGCTCTTTTGATGTGCATAGTCACGTGATTAAATCAGATTTCTTGCAGTAGTTGCTTAAACTCTTTCGTCTCCCAATTTGCCATTAGAACCTGACCGAGTTTAATACAGCCCACAACAAAAGGATCTCCACACTGACCATTGAGGAGGGGAACCTGGACATCCAGAGGCCAAAGAGGAAACGGAAGAACTCCAGAGTGACCTTCAGTGATGATGATGAGATCATCAATCCGGGTGAGGACTTCGCTTTAATCTTTAGTTAATGCCCTTCAGGACCTCCTTCCAGTATTTTCATAGGGATGCATATGGATAAGGCAGTAAATATTTGGCATCAGCTATTTCAGAGAAGCTGCCACATGTCTCACTGAAGTCTTTGACCTCTTTCTGTTTCTTCTGTTGGACCTGTAAAGGAACTGTGTGGTCTGTGCAGGGTGGGGACATCACACTCAGCTTCATTGCTCAGTATTTTGTCAGATATTGGAAAAATGTCACGAGTCCAAAAGGAGGAAGGTTTACATTTTTTGCCTTCTTTAGAATCTAAATGGGAATGGAACTTGTTTGTTTTTCATCTGTCCCCTAATGCTTTCCTTACCTGTTGCCTCTGGGGTATCTTTCTCCAGCTCAGAGGGTCTTTGCTACTTGTCTGTACATCTGAACCAAGTCATCCTCAATTCTCATTCAAACTGATGCATCTGAACACATACCCAATTCTAAATTAGCCTTTTTTTCTCCTTTATCTGTTCTGTATTATTGGCATTCCTATCAATGACACTTTAAAGGGATAGTATTCCTGTTAATAAGTGTAGCTAATTAAGGAGCAGGCATTTTGAAATACAATGTGAAGGTGGTTCCACTGGCAGGGTAGAGCACCCAGAGTGACCATTTTGGTTTATAAGGTGGTGCAGTTCAGTGCTTAGAACATCCTAATGCAAATGCCAGTCATTCACATTGGGGGGTGTAAGATAATTTTTCCAGACTTTCAGGAACTTACATTGACTGCTTCTGACTCCTCCTTCAAGGCCCCCCAAGGACTTTGGGGACTGGCTGCTGTGCCTTTAGCATGTGCAGTGCCTTGTCAGCAGCAGCTTTCAGCCCAAACTCCAGCCTGTGTGATCCCAAACTGCCCATCCAGCTGCTCCCCTTCCCATTCTTCATTTGAGGGAAAGCAGTCATTACCAGAATGGCTGATGAGCTACCTGGAGACAAAGCCTCTGGGTGTCCCCTGAGCCCCATTCTTTATCTGGTCACACTTGTGCTTCCTGGGAAGTGCTGACGTGCTGGCTTTGGTTGGAGCAGGGCCATGTTCCGGTTTTCCATTTTTCCACGCTGTTTTCCCCGTGTCCTCACCGGGGGTGTCGCTGTTCTTGCTTTGCAGAGGACGTGGACCCGTCCGTGGGGCGGTTCCGGAACATGGTGCAGACTGCAGTGGTCCCAGTAAAGGTATGGAGTGACTCCCCCTTTCTCATTCACACAGTACACTGATGGACTCCCTTTATGAACTGCACCTTAGAAACAGAACGTTCCAAGGTGGACAGTGCTTCATTGCTAGGCAAAAGTGATGTTTGTGTTTCACAATTGTCTTTTTTTGCAAATTTGACCGTTTCCCTTCAAACCCAGGTTTAGCTCTTTTCTTCAGTAACACATGGGATCAGTGGTGATATTTTTTTTCCTCCCAAAAACAAACAGTTTACAGAAATTTTGTGCATTATTTCCAGGCATCAATTAAAATTGTGGGAAGTGTGGAAAATAGAAGGTAAAAACAAGAGGTTGTTTGTTTAAATACTGAGCGTTAGAGGTTTGATAAGATTGTTTAGGTTTTGCTCCAAGATGAGTGTGTATTGACAGTTCTCTGTTTAATTGGAATATGTAAGAGGAGGGAAGAGCTGCAAGGCTTCAGAGCAGCTAAGCCACTGTGCAACAGCAATTCCAGTTGTTGCTGGTATAGACTAAATAACATCACATGGGGAAGGATAATAAGCCCAGACTGCAGGAGAAGATTCCAGTGATCAGGAGCAGAATTACCCAAATGATCTCAAAGTTGCAGTTTCTTTCTGTGGGGGAGGGAAGGTTTGTGTTATAACACTCTTAGGGACAGGGTGGGATTGTTGGGATGTCCTGTGCAGGGCCAGGAGTTGGACTGGATGATCCTTGTGGGTCCCTTCCAACCCAGGGCATTCTGTGAGTCTGCTGGCTAAAAACCTGCTCAGGCTTCACCTAAGTTACACCTGAGCTTCAGCTTCTGTCACCCTTCCTGCACTGAGCATCTTTAAGAGTTTATTATTGTGGTTGTCAAGGAAACCCAGAAGAAAACTTGTGGGACAAAGACTGGGACACTGTGTGTAAGCACTTTGTATGTGGCAGATTTAGGGGCCTTTTTTTGGGGAGTTTAAAGAGCTTGGTGGTTCCGTGCCTTTTCAATAATCCTTCCACTGTTGTGCCTGCAGAAGAAGCGTTTGGAGAACGCGGGCTCGCTGCCCACGGATGACTCCGCGTCGCGGCGCATGCAGAACTTCCCCTACAGCGGGGGGCTGTACGGGGGGCTGCCCCCCACCCACAACGAGGCGGGCTCGCAGTCGCACGGCGTGCACGGCACCGCGCTCATCGGGGGGCTGCCCATGCCCTACCCCAACCTGGCCCCCGATGTGGACTTGACTCCAGTTGTGCCCTCCACAGTGAACATGAACCCAGCTCCAAACCCGACTGTCTTCAACCCCGAAGCTGTGAATGAACCCAAGAAGAAGAAATACGCCAAGGAGGCCTGGCCGGGCAAGAAACCAACCCCGTCCCTGCTGATCTGAGCTGGGCTGAGGGAGGGTGGGAGTCACCAACTCCACAAACTCTTCATGTGCGTCTTTTTAAAATTTCAGTGTTCTAACAGATGTAATACCAAGATTGGAGAAGTGAAATATCCTTTAAAGATCTGTCTTCAAACATTTTTATATGTCTGTTTAAAAGAAAAAAATACAGCTCCCAGCTCCTTTTGAACCAAAATCCCTGCAGCCTTTTCTTAGCCTCCACTGTCCCAGAGGTCTTTACACGGAGTTTGGGTCTGCAGGTCGAAGGGGCAGTTGCAGAGTTCCATTCTCACTCATGGCATGGCCCTGCAGGTCGAAGGGGCAGTTGCAGAGTTCCATTCTCACTCATGGCATGGCCCTGCAGATCCATGTGTCTTGGTGATGGGCTCGCTGTGGGTGACACTGTTCCTGCTGGACGTGCTCACAGCAAATACTTCTGGGGCCAAGCCTTGCAGAGTCCCATCGGTAGGAGTTGTAAAACTTGCAGAATATAGGTCAGCTTTTATTTTTTGTATTTTCAAAACCCCACCACTGTGGGGCATTCTCTTTTTTTTATTATTATTTTTAGTTTGCCTACAGCTTGTTTTAATTTCCATATAAAACACTAGAGCATCCCATGAGGCATAAGATGGACAAGCAGTAGGTGGGTTCCTTAGCTTTGTTCCAGTGCTGCAGGGTGGGGGCTGTGGGTGGGTACTGAGTGCACAGGTTGGAGTATCTGATGGGGAGACAGGCACTGTCTGCACCCTGCTGTGGTGCCAGCAGCTGTGGTGACTCCCCTGGGATAACTCAGGGTGAGGTTAACACAGAGAACAGTTTATTTTACATTTGGTGGCCCTTGTAACTTAGTTTCATTTTTATTTGCAAATGGAACTTGTAAGCTTAGCGTATATGAGATGCAAGAAGACAAAAGGCTGAGCAGCCGTCGGCAGAGCCGGGGGACTGGCACGTTCCACACCTAAACCCCCAATCTGCAAATATTTTGGCTGCTGGGAGCAGCAGATGAGGATCAAGTGCTACTGAGATCCAGAATAGGAATTCTCAGTAGAGATAATAAAGTAATGTACAAGCTGGTTTCATAATACCACGTTTTTTGATTCCTTCATCACTTTTTCCCATTGAATAAAATGAGAAGCTTGACTTGGGTTGTTGCTCCAGCCCTTCAGATCTTTGGGCTTAGATCTGAAAATGATTCAGATGTTCAGACACTGTGGCTGTACTTTAGACAAGGTAAGGGCAGAGCTCTGTTATTTTTAGGTTTGCTCTGGGGTTTTTGTAAACTCTCTAGTGCAGTTCAGCTACAAGTCACATTCCTTTGTTGTTTGGGGGATCCAGGAAATGTGCACCAAAATGAGAGCCTGCTCACTGTGTGCAGGACTGGGGCTACCTGGTGAAATAGTGCTGGGGTGCTGGGACAGGGCTGTGTTCCCGAGCAGGGGGTGCTGATGGTGCTGGGACAGGGCTGTGTTCCCGAGCAGGGGGTGCTGGATGCACCAGGCCCTTTTGGACAGATGCTCCACAGTCCGAGTGCTGCTCCGTGACTGCTTCAATCACGCCCTTGAGGTGAAGCTGAGCCGAAGCTGCCCTGCTCCCAGGAGCGATGGATTTAGAGACTGCTCCGTTCCCTCCTTGCACCGTCGTATCCAGCTGGGACTGTTCCACGGGTGGACTCGGTACCTGCTCCGTGATCCAGCTGTGCCGCTCGGTGTTCAGTTGCCATTGATGATTCAGCCCTCGGGTGTTTGTTCTGCTTCCCAGCACTCCCACAATGACTCTCCAAATCTTTCTCCCTTTAGTCTGGCCTGTAGGATTTTCATTTCCCACCCAGTTGCTTTCTGAAGGCAACTCTTTAGGGTAAGAATAGTCAGGGCAAACAAAGGTTGAACAAGTTTTCTTCTTTTTCTGTTTTATTTTGGGGGTTTTTGTCTGTTGGGGGGGTGGTTTTGTTTTCTTTGCAAGTGGCTCTTTGCAAGATTTTTCTTGACAAGGGAAGCTTCATTGCTCATTGTTTTTTAAAGCTCTTCTCCTCCCTGGCTCTGAACCAGCTCTCGTTATTTCAGAGCTCAGGGGCCATGGCTGGCCAGGAGGGGACAGGAACATCAAGGGGCTTTGTACAGACGTTTGTACACTTGTGTAATATGTAATAGGCCTTTTCACACTTCTGTTGAGCTTTTTACCTGTAACCTTTACTATGTTGTAAATTAAATGCGGATTTTGCCATTTTGGGGAGTAGTGTGTTCGTTCCAGTCTGCACTGGTGCAGCTAAGACTGCCCCTTATGCTGTGGCTCGTGGCAGGATCCTGCCATGGCAAAGTGCCCTTCTCCTGCAGGCCTTGTCCTTGGGCTGCCTCGTGCTGCACTTTGGCATGAGTGACACCTAACAATGGATTTTGAACAGTGGTTGCCTTTGTTTTCCAAGGGGAGTTTTTCCTGGTTCTGGCCCATCTCTCTCTCTCTAAGTTGTGCTCTGGAGCCCAGCTCTGCTGCTCTCATTGTCCAGGGTGCTGCTCTGACAGAGCATGGCCTTGGGCAGGCTGAGCCCCCTGTCCCTGCAGTGAGAAACACCAAACTGGGGCCTGCACAGGGTTGAGAGGGACTCCCCAGCTTTGCTGAAATCGGCAGTACTTGTGCTATACACAGATATTTTCCCAATGCAGAAGCAGCTGGGCAGGGTACATTTGCACTGCAGTTTTGGCAGCAGTTCATGTGCAAGCTGCTCACCTGCCACAGGCAGAAATTGCTGGTGCAGGTGAAGGGGTTCCTTTTGTGGTCTGCCACTGTCAGTGTGGGTGTGGTAAGCGGTTCATCTCCTGTATTAAATGAAGGATTAAAAACTTGCACAATAATCTGAAGACCTCTGCAGTGAGAAAGCAGAGGTGGGAGCTAAAGCAGATGGTGGTGTTTTCCACGAACATCTGGCCTTGCAGCATTCCCTGGATTGTCACTGTAACCCTTCCTTTGTCTTTTGGTCTGGAAATACAAGGGGGCAGCACCCAGGGGGCAGCCCCAGAGCTCGAGGTGAGCTGACAGGTGGTGTGTTTGCAGGGCTGTTCAGTGAGGTACTGATGTGTTAGACCCTGCACTGACACACCTGAAAGCAGGACTTGTTGGAGAGGAGCTGGGATCATCCTGGGGCCCTTCAGGAGAGCAGGAACAGCTTCCAGTGCAAACAGGTGAGTGTGCACTTGTGCAATTACATCAAGGACTTTGACACCTCGGGGAGAGACCACAGGAGAGGGCTGGACTGCAAGACATGGCTTGGATCAAGCCAAGGACCTGGGGCTGTAAGAGCAGTTGCTGGGCTCTGGGTTTGAGTACTGTTTGAGATGTGCTTTTTCAAAAGCAGTCAGGACAGTTGTAGGTTCTTTGATCTCAAAACTCAATCTAGCAGTAGTAGGTAAAGGGGGAAAATTGTTTCTGCTTTTGTTTCTCAACACCAGGTACAGCTCCTCATCCGCAGGAGCATTATCTGGTGGGTGTGGGAGAGGGAATGCTGGAGAAAGAGGGAGAGTGTGCAGTAAGGCTGGAGCCAGTTTAGGATCAACAACTGTGGGGTTTGGGTCACAGCTGTTAAATGACCCTCCCCTGAAGGCCCCATAACCAGTAAAGCAGCAAGAGGTACCTGACATTCCAGCATCGCATTCATGACTAACCCTGATGTTTCCCCCCCGCCTCCCTCAGAGGAGAGCAGCAGCTTTCCAGCAGCACTGGCGGTGGATTTGGTTATTGTCTTTTGCTTCGTATGCATTTTCCAGAACTGATGCCCTCCTCAGAGAAGCTTTAAGAGAGAAGCAGCTAAAGAGTGCACGTCTGTTCTCCACCCTCTTGTACACCACCCTTACTTTCTCTCTTGCCATGAAATCTGGCAAACATCTGGGAAAGGTTTCAAGAACAGTTGCAGAACGGTAGAGGAGGAGGAGGAAGCCTTAAATACCAAAGCTTAAACACTGCCGGGGCGCAGAGCGGATGTGGGGGCAGCGTCACCCCGGCTCCCCCCACTATTCCCGCCGGGATAACCCGCACCTCCGGCCCCTGCCCGGGAAGCAGCACCCGCAGGGTCCCCGCACGGCTCCCGCTGCTCCGGGGCAGAGCACACGCTCTGAAGGGGTCCCGGGGGCAAACACCATCCACGGCGGCAAAGCCAGGGCCATGCCGGGCCCGCTCGGGGTGCGTGTGTCGGGCACGACCCCTCCCTGCCCCGAGAGCTCCGCGTTAGACCCCGGGAGAGCCCCGCGCTGCCTTCACGGGCAGGGCGTGCCCTTCCCGCACCTCCCGCCCCGTACCCAGGGCCCAACACCAGCGCTCGCTACCGCTTCCCTCAAGGTCTCAGAGCAGCTGGCAAAGCCCAAGGCTGTAAATCACCACCTCGTATCTCGCTGGTGAGGCTGCCATGCCCAGCTGAGGGAGGGAACTCAGTGAATGCAAGTGAAGAGAGCACAGAAGAGACAGAGAAGAGAGCTGTTTATGCTCAGCAATTGGAGGGGGCAAAAACAATCATCAGTGCCTCCTGTTCAGCACTGAGATACAAAGACTGCTGATGTCTAGACACTGCCATCCCACGTGGCTTTGCTCACAAGCCAGAGGCTTCTGCAGTACGAGGCTTCTGCACAACAAGACTTTCTGGGTCACCAGCTGTGCGGTCTTTCCAGAAAAGAACTGTGTGCCAACCTGAGGAATGCTGGCAGCAGCCTCCAAGAACACATCTCTCACCTGTGGGCAGTTCATGTCCACAGGAAGGCCTGGTCTTCATCTGATTTGTGAGGCTACCCCAGCAGTCCCAGGGGAGGGGAGACATTCCTCAGTGCAAGCAGTCCAGCACAACAAGGTTCTCACGATTATTGTACCTCCCTCACACATCAAGCTTGTCTAGAAAATTGCAAGTCAGTCTCACAGAGCTTTTAGTAAATGCTGGCAATTATGTCCTGGTTTCTAAGTTTTCAGTGCCAAAATCACTGATTCACATGCAGTGTGATTCCGTGCTCTCCTTCTTCTCTCTTGCTCTCAGCCATCACGGCACTCGCTGGGGACTGAGAAGTCCTAAGAACACACAGCAAACCAAAAGCCAAACGCTGCTGGGAGCAGAGGCAGCACTGCTGGTTTTCACACACTCATCATACTTTGTAAAATCAACTTCCCTGATGGCACACACGTGATCCACACGACACTCCTGCTCGCACCATGCCAGGTCATATTTGGCAGAGTTGAACTCGTAGTAGCTCTGCAGGTAGTGAGGGTTCCCCGAGATCCTCTCCAGCACCGTCTGCATGGAGCGCATGGAGCCATCGGGGACCTGGAAGGCCTCTGTCAGGGTGTACTCGGTCTCCCACAACGGGAACTCCTCTGCCTCCCACTGCGAGGCCATCGTGTTGGCACAAGTGAGGTTCAAGTAATAAGTCACCATATCCTGAGGGAGAGAAGAACAGAAGTGGGGACACATGAGGACAGGATCAGCCTTGGAATGAGATGCTGGGCTGGGCTCACAACCACAGGCAGCACATCCCCGAGAGCCCAGCTGCCCCTGACAGGCCTTCCTACCAATACAGGCACCTGGGGACACACCTCACACCTCAGGTGAGAGCCTCCAGAACCCACCCCAAAGGCAGCCTGTTTCCTAAAGGGTGAAGGGGTGGCTTTGCTCTGCTTGACTTTTACGTCCAAACATCAGAAACTTTGAGCCTGGCCTTCTTCAAACATCAGTTCGTTACCATCAGTACTGTCCAGTGGCAGAAGCAAGGCCTGGAGGAGTGTTACTTCCCAAGTACAGTTAATTTCTCAACTGTGAACAAACTGAAGAATCTTTTCACAACTTCTGTTCTCAGTCTCTTTTGCTTTTTCCCCTCTGCTTCACTGGCTCCCCAGCCTTGCACAGTATATTTTAGCATTCACTTCACATGCTATAAGCATGTAAACAGAGCAACTACAGAGAGCTTCATCCACTGCAATGGGAGACACAAGCAGCCATCCTCTACCTCATGACAAGCAAGACATGGGAAACAGCAGCTGCCCCTACAATTCACCTCAATTGAGATCCACTCCAAATCCATCACTAGCAAACAGAGGGACACAAATAATTTTCCAGATGGTTACAGTTTTTGGAGGGGATCTGACAAGTCTGTTAGTACTCAAAGAGGAGTTCTGTGATCAACATTATCTGGGGAGCAAAGCAAGTGTCAAAGGAATCTCACTCAGGACATGAAGAACATGGCAAAACCTGTCTGCCCCTGCTCTGAGGAAATCATCCCAGCAGGATGCACTGGCTGTGGGGGCCTGGGCCTCAACTCACTGACACTCTGACTAAATATCTGAAATATCCTGGGCCAGGGTCCCCTCCCACACTGCTGCTCGGCTCCTGTGGCCCTGCCTGTTCTGACCACAGGCAGAAATTAAAGTTCTCTTCCAGAGCTGCAGTGTGCAGCACACAGGGCTCCCCTACCAACACCTGAAGGGTGTCCCGATCATAGTCCACCACCCGAATCCCGGGGTTGTTGGCTCCATTGTGCACTCCAGGTAATGTTGTCTTCCAGGGAGTCACTCCAGGGGCCAGGAACATCACATTGATTGGAGAACCTTCACAGAAAGGCAAAGCAACCTGTGAGTGGAGACCTTGGCTTGCCCCACACCCTGTTCCCATCGCAGTGAGCACCTGGAGCTGATGGCCCTGCCCAGGAGCATCTATGTCACCAGCCCCTGGTGCACCACAAACATCAGCACAAGGAGCGACACTGGGGTCTGAACATGGGGCTCCTGCAGTGAGGGTGGCCAGGGAACCACCACCTGTGCCCAGAGCACTCTGCACCACCCCAACACAGAGATCTGACACTGCTCCCTCACACCCCAGCAGTGCCCAAACCCCTCCACAGGGAACAGGAAAGAAGCTGCCAATCACTGAGGGGAAACAGCATTTGAGGATGAACGGGAAGGAGGTCAGGAGCTACAGCCTGGGGGTGGAGATGAGAACCACTGTTGCCTCTTGTTGCCCAGAGCATTTCACAAGCCTTTGCTGGCTTCTCAGCTGCCTTCAGCCAACAGCCACCAAAACCTCCCATGGGCAGTGATTCTGGGAGCTGGCAGATCTGCCACACAGGTGCCTGGGCGAGCAGAGCCGGTACCTGTGTCGCTGTAAAACATGCGGAAGCTGTCGGTGTGGTGGTGCCCGAAGAACTGGGCGGCGATCACCCTGTGGTGCTCCTGCACAATGCTGAGGTACCGCTCGTTAAAGCCCCTCCGGAACCAGGCCTTGCCTCGTTTCTTCTCGAAGAAGCCGGGAGGGACGTGGCCCACAATGTAGACCTGGAGAAGCAAGAGCTGCCCTGAGCACAGAGCCCGTGCTGCCCGCAGAGCCCCGTGGCTGTGACTGCCCCGGGGAGAGCGGGGCTGGGAGGAGCTCTCTACAAGGGTGGTTTATCCATTCCCTTGTTAATACCATTTCATCTGCTCTAGAGGCATTGGTCAGTGTTTCTTCCAGCCACTGGAACTGCCCCCCAGGATCCTCCTCAGCAGCCGTCTCATCATTCTGGTCATAGTACAGGTTGGTGTTGAGGACAACAATCCTCCCCCTTGTCCCTGGGCTGGGCAGCTTCTCACTGTAGAAAGCTCCTGAAAAACATGACAGGGAAAGAGCTGGAGGTCTGGTCACACTGGTGGCTGTGATCCCACATCCCTTTGTTCCCACCTCTCTCTGCTCTCCTTAGCAACAGCCACAGCAGGGTCACTGCCTGGACCAGGCACCAGCAGCGCTCTGCCCACTCCAGGATGGGTGTTTGGAGTGGCTCTTCCCTGTGGGCCTCTTGTCATGCTTGTGCCTGTCCCATTGAAGGGAGACCTGCATGGGGACAGTGGGCAGCTCTGAAGAGCCACAGCACTGCCTGCCCCAGCCTGTACCTTTAAAGGTCTTTTCCTCCCTGGAGCTCACCACTCTGCATTCTTCCCAGTAACCTGACAATGATACGAGAGACTAAAATATAACAAAATTTATCTTCTTGCAAGCAGGAGAACTCCATGCCAGAAATCAGCGTTAAATTGGACCCTTCCTCTTCAAGTCCTCTATGAATACTGATGCTCTGAGCTCTGAGGCAAGGAAAACTGGTCATGGTATTCTCCCACCCTTCCCCATCTCCTCAGAGTGCTGCCAACACGAGCCAGTGGTGCCAGACCTGCTCTGAAGAGAGGAAGGGAGGCGTCACTCAGCCAGGGCCGCCACAGTTCTGCTGTTTGGTTGTAGATCCTGTGCTGCTTCCCAGGAAACTGATTCTTGGGGTGGAAGTCGTGATTGCCCATCGCCGCGTAGACTTTGGTGCCTGGAGACAGAGCAGAGGAGTCAGAGCTGCAGAGCAGAGGAGTCAGGGCTGCAGAGCAGAGGAGTCAGGGCTGCAGAGCAGAGGAGTCAGGGCTGCAGAGCAGAGGAGTCAGGGCTGCAGAGCCCCCGAAGCTCCCCAGGGCACTCAAGGCCAAGGCTTTGCCAGGGCCAGTCACCCACCCCTGAGACCGCACTGACCACTCAGCACTGACCCCCCTGGGGAGCCCCCCCAGCCGAATCCTGAGCTGTCACAGCAGTAACATCCCTCTCTCCTGCTGACAGGGGTTCTGTCTGAGGGAATCTTGCAACTTTTTCTCCCTTAATGACTAATAACAGAAACCTTTATTTTCCTCTCTCCTGAGCGAGCTAAGCTGGAACATGAATGTGCATCAGTGCATGATGCACATCAGAACTGAGGCCACTGGGAAGAGGGCAAACAAGCCCCAGAGACCACAGCCTTTCTGTGCCTTTCCCTGTCCCAGTTCTGTAATTCTCCACCCTGGTAAGCCCTTCCCATGAGTCTCTGTGCCCCTCTCCCCTTCTCATCCCCTCAAATCCTACCTGGAAATGTCTCTTTTATCAGAGAAGTCAGGTTTGCTATTATGTGCAGAACCTTTTCTTCTCCGAGCTGCTCATTGGGGACATGGGGAGTGTCATCTCTAAAAAAAAAAAAAAAGCAGCTTGGTCACTGTCTGGGACTCATAGGACCTGTGCTCACAGCGATGAGCAAGGCACAGAAACTTGCTGGCTTCTGTCTGTGCCTCCTCAAAGAGACAGCTGAAGCTTTTGGGGGCAGAATTCAGTGCTATGTTGACTGGTCAGGGTACTGAGGGAGTTTCAAGGAATCGCTGAGAGAGAAAACAAACTCCACTGGAAACCTGCCAGAGCCCAAGGGCACCACTCTCAGGCACATGGTGGGATTGCTGGAGTGTCCTGTGCAGGACCAGGAGTGGGAATTTGATGATCCTTGCGGGTCCTCTCCAGCTCAGGATACTCTGTGATTCACTTTACCTTAAAACCCTTGAACACCAGCGGGTAAAGGGGAGGCTCTCTCTGCCTCAGGGCACGTCACAGGCACTAAAGCTGCCTGGAAATATTGCCAGGATCAGCACTTTGCAATCTGAGGGCACCATCTGATCAGCAGTAGTGAAGCAGAGCTGTTTGCACAGCTGTGATCACCATGAAACAAGGGAATACCTCCAGTAAGGCAGGGCTGCCCCAGACACACACGTCTGTGTTTGCACTGACACACTCATGGCATTTGTAGACAATGCTGGGCTGGCCAGCAGCCCACTGAAGAGGGAGATCAACATTCAAAATCATGTGAGAGAAACTGGGAGAAATTATTTGAGGAAAAAGAATGCTCAACGTAAGGTCACAAGGAGTAACATGCATCTCCAGGGACCAAAAATGAAAACATGCGGTCAGGCAACAGCCTCCTGGGACTGGAAGTACAGCAGATTGCAGGTTAAGGTTGCACTGTCAGAAGAAAGGCCACACACACAATCAATCACCATGCAAAATATAGCTTTTACTGTAAGTGCTCCTAAGGCAGTAAGGGCACTTGAGGGACCAGGAACCCACTTCTGGGGACCACAACAGCAGAGAACCCCCACTCCTAAAGCAAAACAGCCCCTTTTTGAGACAGGTCTCCCAGCTGCCTCATCTGCAGCCAGAAGAAATGCCACAAGCCTGGTTTGCAACGCTGTCCTCCCACTGCTCTGACCGGCAGGACCTGGTGGACCAACACACAGCCCACAGCCCCTTCCCTGGGCATTCCAGGCGCTCGGAGTCACTGCGGAGTCAGACAGGGCTGGACAGGATGGACGGTGAGTTCGGATCCTTCCATGCCCTCACGGCAGCACTGCCCCGGTGCTTCAGGAGCTTCCTGCAGGCGCTGGGAGCCCTCGCCAGGGTTGTGCTCTCCCCCAAGCCCTCGTTCTTCATTACGAGGCACATTCCCCCCTCCCCTGTCCGAAGTGGGGACCACGGAAAGAGCCCTGACCCCCCGATACGGGCTCCGCTGCCCTCCTGTGTCCCTCCCGGCCCGGCTGCTCCTCACCCGGTCCAGAGCACGAAGTCGGGGGTGTGCAGGATGTCCCGCATGGTCCGGGCTGCCGAGCGGAGCAGCGCCCAGGGCGCGTCGCACAGGTGGCTGCCCCAGGGCCCCGCGGGCCCGGCCCGCCCGCTGCCCGACGGGCACGGCCGCCCCGCCGCCGCCGCCGCCTCGTACCCGGGGTCCCAGTGCAGGTCCGTGAGGTGCCAGAACCGCCCGCGGCCGCCGCGAGCACCGGGCAGGGCCGCGGCCAGCGGGCACAGCAGCAGCAGAGCCACGGACCGGGCCAGGGGCTGCATGGGGGCACCCCGGGCTGCGCACTGCGCACTGCGCTGCGCTGTGTTCTGCTGTGCTCTGTACTCTGTGCCCCCGTGCTCTTGTTTGTGCTCTTCTGTACTCTGTGCTCTGTGCTCCCCTGTGCTCTGTCCCTCCCCCGCCCGGGCCCCACCTGTCACCTGTGCTCTGGCCCCGCCCCTCGGCCCCGCCTCCTCCCCGCGGCGGGGCCGGGCAGCGCCTGCCCTCAAAATGGCGCCGGCGGCTTCTCCGCGACCTCTCTCTATTGGACGGAGGCGGAAGACGGAAGGCCGCGATTGGCCGCGGCGGGCAGAGCGGCGCTCCGGGATTGGGCGGGCGCGGGCGGCGCGCGGAGGATCGGCGCGCGCGGGCCTGTGGCGGCCGATCCTGACGGAGCGATGTGGAGCGGGCACGGTGGGGACGGGACGGGGACAGGAATGGGGACAGGAATGGGGACAGGGGACGGGGACACGGGACAGGGACACGGGGCAGGGACACGGGACAGCGCCCGGGGGCCTCGGGGACGGGGCGCTCGAGGCCGCGATGGCGCAGCGGTGGGCACGGGGACCGCGCCACGGCCTCACGGCCTCTGCCTTCCCCCCTAGGGAACTTGGACGGCGGGTTCGGCACCATGGGCGGCGCGGGGCCCCCGGGCGGATACCTGCAGTCCCCGGGGGGGTTCGGGTCGCCCGCCGGCGCCCAGGCGGAGAAGAAGCAGGTAGGCCGGGCGAGGGGCGGCCGGGGCCGGTCCTGCCGGGGCTGGGGCCGGTCCTGGGCCAGCCCTGACTTTCCGCCGCCCCTCGCAGCGGAGCCGCTCGCAGAACATCGTGCCCTGCACGGTGTCGCAGCTGCTGGCGGCGGAGCAGGTCGACGAGGCGTTCCGGATCTGCGACGTGGAGATCTCGCAGGTGGGCGCCGGGGCGGCCGCGGGCGGGGCGGCCCCGAGTGCCGCGGGGGCCCGGCCAACCCTCCCGCTCCCCGCAGGTCACCGTGGTGGGCATCGTCCGGCACGCGGAGAAGGCGCCCACCAACATCCTCTACAAAGTGGACGACATGACGGCAGCGCCGATGGACGTCAGGCAGTGGGTTGACACCGATGTAAGCATCGGATTCGCTCCGAACACGCTTCCTTGACAACCTTTGAGAGCGGTGGGGAGGGAAAAGTTATTAAATAGTACAGTGTCTCAACTGGAAGGGACCTGTAAGGATCAACAAGACAAACTGCCTGCATCTCACAGAGAGTTTTTATCAAAAAGATGTCGCTTTCCTGAGAAGTGTTTTAGGAATAATACGTCCCTGAAATCCAAGGGAGATGCTGCTGTAACAGAGGTCACTGACTGTCCCCTCAGCTGTTGTTTATAGCTGAGTTCAGTTGAATAGCTTTGGGAGGGTAATCAGGCAGACATTCAGTTGGCTTTCTGCAGGTTTATCCTGAGTTCAGAAATGACTCTGGCCTGCCCCGTTCCCCAGCCAGGTTATGGAACTGAACACCTGCTTTTTTACTATTTAAGAGTCTTTTCCTCTTGTTGCTCTGAGAATCTCTCATAAGTGGACAGAAATAGCAGAGCAGACGACTGGCTCTGCTCTCCAGTGTGCAAATGTTTTTACTTTTCATTTACAGTTATGTTTATCTAACTGCTCTTGCTGGGCATAAGAATGCACGTTGCTTGTGCTTGCTTGAGATGAGCCTGCTTTGCTGAGTCATTTACTGTGATGTTTGGGAAATGGAAATGTGAATCAGCAAACCTCTCTCCTTTCCCTCTCTGTTAGGAGGCAGGAGGTGAGAATGTCGTGGTACCTCCAGGAACTTACGTCAAAGTAGCTGGGCACCTCCGTTCCTTTCAGGTAAGGCCGTGTCACCTGTGCCTGAGTCCAGGCCATGCAGGATTAGTGATCTGGCTCAGTGTCAGTGGGCTGCTTTAGAGTGTCTCTGCTCATCCTTTCCTCTGGACAAATCCTTCAGTGTCTCTGCCACGGCTGTATTTAATAACACTCTTAACTGTTCCTGAATACAGAGGACTGTTTAAAATGAGGACTCATTTAAAATGCCCCTTGTCCTCAGTGTGTTTTTTTCAGCAGAGCAGAGTTCTGGCCACCAGGTTCTGGGATGTTTGTGCTGTTGAGCTTAGACCAGGTTCTGGTTCATGGGGGCACTTGTTGTAGCACGTTATGTGATGTGGTTACCTCATAACTAAATATTCAAGTAATGGTGTATGCATTAAAGGAAAGTTCAGCTGGTTAGACCCTGTCTCCAGCTGACTCTATATCTCCATTGCTTTACAAAATCACATCTGAAAATATGTTGTAGTTTAACCCTGGAGGGCACCTGAGCCCCTCCTCCTCCCCCTGCCACTGCTCGCTCACTCCTGGGGGGATGGGGGAGAATCAGAAGGGTCAAAGTGAGATAACCAAGTTCAGATGGGGGCAGTTTAATAAGTAAAGCAAACCAAGGAATCCATCCCACACTTCCCATGGGCAGGCAGGTGTGCAGCATCTCCAGGAGAGCTGGGCTCTTCATGTGGAACGGTGACTGGGGCAGACAAAGACCATCAGTTTGAACATCCCCTCTTCCTCCTCCTTTTCCCAGCTTTATATACTGAGCATGACACTGGATGATCTGGGATATCCCTTGGGCAGTGGGGTCCCAGCTGTGTCACCCCCCAGCCTAACACTGGTGGGGCAGTGTGAGAAGCAGGAGAGCCCTTGGCTCTGCAAGTGTTGCTCAGCAACGACTAAAACATCCCCGTTTTCCAGCACAATTCCAAAACCAGTCCATGCTACTCTATCCCAGCCAAAAGCAGCACAAGACATAGGTCAGAACATTGTGGAGTAGCTGCATGCAGAGAAGCTCTCATTTCACCACTGTCCCATTCCTGGAGGGAATGGCTGGGTTGGTTGGTTTGCATTTTCCTGTTTCTGTGATGTAATTTGTTTTTTTTTTTTCCTCTGAAAGAATAAGAAGAGCTTGGTGGCATTTAAGATCATGCCTCTGGAAAATATGAATGAGTTCACCACACACATACTAGAGGTTGTCAATTCACATATGATCCTCAGAAAAAATCTTATGGTATGTAGAAAGATCCCGATTGCATCATGGCCCTTCCTGGGTGACTGGTGATTTCCCATAGAGGGACCTCTGGCTATGCTGGGGAAATTGTGGGTCTGCAAAGCTTAAGGCTGGGCTACAGTGAGGATGTAACAGAAGTCCTGGCTTCCTTGGAGAGAGATTGTATTGCAGTCCAGTTCTGTGGTTTACTGCCATGGGTTTGGCAGTCAGGTAACCTCAGCACTTCTGTTCTCATGATTGCAGTCAGGTAACCACAGCATTTCTGCCCTCCTGATTGCAGTCAGGTAACCACAGCATTTCTGCTCTCCTGGTTGCAGTCAGGTAACCACAGCATTTCTCATGATTGCAGTCAGCATCGAGTGCGCCGCCGTCGTTTTCCTCCACTGGGATCAGAGACATGGGAGGCTATGGAGGAGTTGGCAGCCTGCCAGTGAACGGGCTCACAGCACACCAGAGCCAGGTGGGTGCCAGCAGCGTTTCTGGGAGCACAGCAGTGGCAGTGGAGGCTGCTGGGGTGTGATGGGTGATACAGGGCAGGGAAATGCAAGTTCCATCACTCTTTGAAGACAGTGGTTCTGCTCAGCCTCTCTGACACAGAATCTGAGCTCTGTGGTAATGGGGGCTCTTGCTTCTCCAGGTGCTGAACTTGATAAAAAGCTGCCCTGTCCCAGAAGGTATGAGCCTGCAAGAGCTGAAGCTTCAGCTCCACAGTATGAGCATGTCAACAATCAAGTAAGTGTGTAGAAATGAAGGGTGTTTGGAAACCCAGGCATTCCTCTCAGAGGCAGAGGGGACAGTTGACAAGCTCAGGCACTCACCTGTGAATCAGTGTGGGTAATCCAGGTGGCCCCAGCAGCACAGAACAGTGAGCCAGAGCTTCTGAAGGCTTCACAGCCCTGAATGAGTCACTGCCAGTTGAAAGTGTGACAAATGCTTTGCTCCCGTTTTCAAAACAACCTGTTTATCAGTTCAGTGGCAGCAGATACCTGGGTGTTCTGCAGTGCTTTGGCAGTATTGTCCTGTTCAAGGACTGCCTCGCCGTCTGCACACTGAACACTTAGTTCTGTTCTCCTTTTTGCTATCACTTATAACTTCTCCTTAAAGCTTAGAAATGTAGTCATGAACATCCATGACCTGCTTTCACCTGGGAAGTATGGAGAGTGGTGGCTTTCTCCTCTGTGACAGGCAGAGTCTGACCTGTGGGGGAGCACATTTTTCATAGCTTTGGAGAAACTCTGTATGTCACTTACACTGCTCACAGGACAGAGCCATCCAGAGCTTCCCTTGGCAGCTGCCAGGAGGGAACTGTGGGGATGGGGTCTGGAAATGGGAAATCCCTGGCAGAAAGGTGGTATTTGCTAATTAGTTGCTAACTGGTTATTAATTGTGGGGCTTTCTTCAAGGCAAGCCGTGGAATTCCTCAGCAGCGAGGGACACATCTACTCCACGGTGGATGATGATCACTATAAGTCAACAGATGCTGACTGAAGTTCCCTCCAGCTTAATTTACTTCCAAAAAAATGCTTGTCCCTGTTTCAAGATACCCTGCCAAGCTCAGTGACATGGAGGGTGATCTTTTCTCTCTGTAGACGGTCCCAGTTACTCTGTGAATGCCTCCTCATGGAATTCCAGGACACGCAGAATGTACAGGATTCTGTTAACTGGACTTGATTCTATGCTGTGACCATGTGAATGAAAGCATAAATAGACACAGGAAAAGTGAACTCCTCAAAGCTTCAGAACCTTCACTTTGTCTTGGCTCCTTAAAAGATGCCTGTTAGAAAGAGGAACCTCTTTCTAATCTTTGTTTCTAGAGCTGTTTCTCCTAACTCAGCTTCCCTTCTATTCGTTCACAAAGTGGGTACCATTCCACTAATGTACAGCAATCATGAAAAGATTTTTTTATTTTTTAGTTTGTGCGTTTAAATCTATATTTGTACTAGAGGTGATCTTGTTACTAGAGCTTTTGAACATTTCCAATAAAACTTTAACTTGAGGACCCTTGCCTGCATGTGTGACTCAAGAGGCTTTTCTACCCTGAAGAAGGAAGCCATCTGCTTGACAAAACCTGGGAGCAAAAGCACAGCTCATACTTAACTTTCCTTATTTTTTTATTTAGCTTTTTGCTTTGAAAGGTCAAACTGAAATGAGTGTCTGGACAGCAAGAAATTAAATAATTGTACTACGGCAGAAACCAGCACATTACAGATGAAACATCAGTGTTACAAATAGGGCCCAAATCACTTCTGCCCCCAAAACAGGCTCCCCAGGGCAGTGGGCACAGCCTCAAGGCTGCCAGAGCTCCAGGAGGGTTTGGACAGCGCTCTCAGGGACAGGGTGGGATTGTTGGGGTGTCTGTGCAGGGCAAAGAGTTGGACTGGATGATCCTTGGGGATCCCTTTCAGCTCAGGATATGCTGTGCTATGATTTTAGCTGAAGCTCGAATTACACCAAGTGCAATAATGTTTTATTCTTTAAACCATTTTTAAAGCATAACAGAAAAACACTGTTAGGATATAGTTTGATACTCTAGATGGATGGAGGTGGAGGTAAGAGGTTTGTGTTTCCTGGTTTTCTACCCACTCTGCCTTGTTCAGGGAGGCTGCAGGAGGCTACAGCACCATATTGTCCCTCAGTCATGGTGAGCTTCCTGTCATAGGAAATTCAAACAGACCTGTCTTCTGGGCATTGTTCTGTACTTGTAATGAGAGCACTTCAGGAGTTCATAAATATTCAGGAGCGTTTCAGGTGTGTAATGTAGCTGTTCTCACAGAAGGAACCACATGGCTTTCTGCTTTGTGAAGGTGTTGCTGAAAAGCAGGACCCAGATATTTCAAGCTGAACCACTGATACACTGAACTGCGCTTGCTGCCTGCCAGGTGAGAGCTGCTGTTGTGTGCTGTGCTGCCCTGTCCTACGATTGCTGCCTGCCAAGTGCCAGGACCACTGGAACAGCAGCACACAGAGCCAGGGCTGGGGCAGAGGGCTCGAGCTGGTGGGGTCTGTGTGTTATGGGAGCTGCAAAGTCATGGGGTTTCTGTTACCTGGAACTGGTGAATTGACTTTGCTTTGCAAAAGCAGTTGTTCCCTGTGGACGTATCCCTGGGGCTGCCCGGGGGACCCGGGGTCTGCTGCTGGGGTTACTGCTGGGGCAGATCCGTGTCCTGCTGGTCCTGTGGCCCAGCTGCAGCCCGTGGTGTGAATAGCGCAGCAGGTGTGCTACAGGTGCACACCCCACTGTGGAGTCCAGCAGATCTAGGAGTCAAAAGTACTGTAATCGCCTTTATGTAGGAAGTGTGCAGGTTAGGAATGAAATTCCTGACGATTTTTGGACGTGAAGATGCATGGACTTTCTTGCAGTAAAGAGAGCGGTTGTGCAATTGGGTAACACCGCACTGCGGCGGGTGAGGGCAGGGACCCCGGCTCTGCGCGGTGCTGTTCGGGCGGGACCGGAGCTCCAGCCCGTCCTGCCGCGGCTGCCCCACGGCTCATCCCCCGTGTCCCGGGCCCTGCCCCTCAGCGGCGGGGCCAGAGCGAGCGGAGGGGCCGCGGAGCGGGGCAGGGCTGGGACACGGCGGAGGGCCGTGCTCCGAACCCCCCGCTCAGCCCCGCGGGGAGCTGCAGCTCCGGGGGGGGACACGCGAGTGCGGGGCTCGGCTCGGCCCCGGTGCCGGTGAGCGGTGCTGCCCTGCGAGGGACCGAGGGCTCCGCCGGGCCGGGGCTGAGGGAGCGGGCCGGGGGCGGGACAGGGAGAGGGGCGGGGCCGCTGAGGGGCGGGGCCGAGAGCGGGGCGGGGTCATTGAAGGGCGGGACAGAGAGCGGGCAGGGCCCTCAGGGAGGGGCGGGGCCCGCGGGCTCCGGTCGGGGCCGCTCCCGGTGCGCTCCCGGCCGGTCCCGCTGTCCATGTCCCCCCGGGCCGCCCCGCCGCGGTTCGGGCCGCTGCAGTTGGCGCTGGCGGCGGCGGGGACGGCGGCGGCGGCGCTGGATGTGTTCACGGACGGCTGGGTGGCGGTGGAGTACGTGCGGCGCGGGCAGCCGGGCTGGGCCGCGCTGTCGCTGTCGCTGCTCGCCGCCGCCTCGGCCGCCGCCCAGGCCTGCAGCTGGTTCTGGCTGCGCTCCGACCCGCCCGCGCTGCGCCCCGCCGTGCCCGCCAAGCTGCTCGCCGCCCTGCACCTCCTGCAGCTCGGCTTTCTCTTCAGGTACGGCGGCCCCGCGCCGGCTTCCCGCGGCCCCCGGGCATCCTCCGGGCATCCCCCTGCCCACCCCCGGGCATCCCCGGGCATCCCCCTGCCCACCCCCGGGCATCCCCGGGCATCCCCCTGCCCACCCCCGGGCATCGCCCCGCTCCGCCCCAGCCTCCTCTCGCCCCTCCTCCGGCTGCCCCTCACTCTGTTCCGGCAGGGGAGGACGGGGGTCCCGCCGTGCCCGAGATGGGGTGAGCGGTGCCCCGGGGGCCGAGGGGCTCCCGGGCAGAGCGGTCCGGCTCAGCCCCGCGGTGGAGCGGGGTGAAATGCCTCGGCAGGAGCCGCCTGTGTCCCTCCAGCTGAAGCTCCCCCGGCTCAGCGCTGTCTCCCGGTGCTGTCGCCGCTGCCGGAGCCCTCGGGCCGAGCGGAGCAGGACCCCGAATCCTCATCTGGATTGGCCTCGGCGCTCCCGGGAGTTCGGGGGCCGGGCCGGGCCTTCCCTCCGGGGGCAGGAAATGATCCGGGCAGGTGCTCTGAGGGCAGTGCTCTGGTTTACATGCACCGCGTGGCTCCTGTGGTCCGTGGTTTGGGCAGGGGAAGGAGGGGGTTGGGTATAAATTGGGGGGGTTTGTTGTCCTGCCGGGGCAGCGTGAGGGCCGAGGGGCTTGCGTGGCCTCTCACTACTGGCTGGGTCCCCACACAGGTGCCTCCACGCTCTGAAGGTGGGCTGGAAGGTGTGCTGGGCGAAGGCAGAGGAGGAGGAGGAGCAGAGACACATGGCCTTCCTCTCCCACGACATCAGCATGCTGCGGCTCTTCGAGACCTTCCTGGAGAACACCCCGCAGCTCACCCTGCTCCTCTACATTATCCTACAGACAAACAAGGCCGAGATCTCCCAGGGTGAGGGGTCTGGGGCCAGGGAGGGGGCTGTGCAGGGGCAGGCTTGGGGTCACAGTGGGCTTGGATGGGGCTGTCTAGGGGCTGCAGGACCCCCCAGGACACTTGCTTGAAGGGTCATTCTGCTCCCACGGCACTCCTTCCCTTGATGAGTCACACAGGAGGGTGAACCCCTCCCATGCTGCAATGGACCTGCTGGGCTCAGGGTGGGAGGGCTGGAGCTGCAGGACTGCTGTGGTCATTTCCTTACATGCCCCAAGAGAGGCTGAGGGTGAGGCTGGGTAGGAGGGAGATGCCAAAGTGGGTGTGGGTGGAGCACAGGCCCCCAAGGAGGTGCCCAGTCCCAGGGTGGGCAGCGAGTGTCACTGCAGGGGTTGGGTGAAGCCAGCACTCACCTGCCTGTGGGCTCTGCAGAGCTGCTCAGTCCCAGCGCTGCTTCTCCACCTTCTGGGCAAGGCCAGCACCAGAGTCCTCCTCGGAGAGGGCAGACAGCTGAGGGAGAGGGCGGTGCTGAGGCTCTGACCCTTAGTGAAGGGTGGGAGGGAAGCTCGTTTTAGCTGTGCCAGGCAGGGGGAGGTTTGAGCCAGGCTGGGCCCTGCCTTGCTCTCCCCTCAGCGTCTCCCCCTCTGTTTGCAGGCCTGGGGGTCGGCACTGCGCTCCTGTGTGTGTCCTGGGCTCTGCTGGACTACCACCAGTCCCTGCGCTCCTTCCTGCAGGACAAGTACGAGCTGAGCCGGGGCTCCTCCTTCATCTACTTCCTGTGGAACCTCTTCCTCATCTGTCCCCGCATCCTGGCGGTCGCCCTCTTCGCCCTGCTCTGGCCCTACGGCGTGGCTGTCCACTTCCCACTCGTGTGGCTGGCCATGTTCCTCTGGGTCAGCCTGCAGGGCACGGACTTCATGGAGTCCCCTGGCCCTGAGCAGCTTTACCGGGCCATGGTGGCCGTGATCCTCTACTTCAGCTGGTTCAACGTGGCGCCGGGGAGGACCCTGCACCGCAGCATCATCTACCACGGCTTCATCCTGGTGGACAGCACACTGCTGGCTCTCTCCTGGCTCTGGGGCCGGGCCCCCTCTGAGGAGCACTGGTACCTCATCCCAGTGGTCTCTGCAGCCCTGCCCTGCTACCTGCTGGGGCTGGGGCTGAGGGTCACCTACTACAAGTGGCTGCACCCCAACGTGCAGGTGCAGCAGGAAGGTGGCTATGATGAGGTGGATGCCAATGGAGGGACTGACGGGCTGGAGTTCCGCTCGTTCTCTGAGCCAGACCTCGTGAACAGGCGGATGCAGTGCCTGGCCCAGAGCCAGTTCCCGCTGTCCCAGCTGCCACAGCAGCGCTTCCTGAATGGGGCTGCTGCCCTCGAGTCTGCTGCCTGAGGGCAGCTCCTCCAAAGGGACGTGCAGGGGAGGTATATTTGTTAGTTGTGGTCCTGGTTCTGCTCCCCCAGGCTGTTGTTTTGGGCAGCTGGAGAGAGCTGGCAGGAACCAGGGATGATGTGGAAATGCACAAGGAGTTCCACGGCACAGAGCGTGGCTCCCATGGTTGCACCCTCAAGGAAAGCCACAGTGTTTGTGGCAGGTCCAGCACACTGTGCCATGTGGCAGGTCCAGCATGTGTGCAGTGCCGTGTCAGCTTTCCTTGTTATTTATTATTAGCTTGTTCAAAAGAAAAAAACTCAAGAGCACTGGTTTGTTCTCTCTGTGCCCGCTGCTGCCATTGCTGCACAGGGATGTGGGAGCTCATTTCCTCCAATGGTTGTGGCTATCTGACCTTTGTTTCCAGAGTTTTCTTCCTTGGTGTGTTAGTTTTGGTGTTGAGGTCAAAGCTCAGCTGTTATCGCCGTGTTTGGGGAGGGATGGGAAGGAGGCCTGTGCTGACAGAGTGGCTGCAGGGTGGCTTTGATGCTTCTGGCTTATTATGGACACCTCGTGCTCCCTTGGCTCCATTCCCACCCCCACCCCGGGCAGTGCTCCTCCTGCAGTTGGCCACGGGCGGTTTCTCAGCTGTGCATGGTCAGTGTGGGGCTGTGCTGGCACCTGAGCACAGACACCCACCCAGTCCCAGGCAGGGCACTCCCCAGATTGGTGCCAAAATCCAAGCAGGCCTCAGAGCAGCCTCTGCCTCTTTTGCTGTTGACCAGTTGGCAGCTGTGGCACATCCTGGTTGCCCAAAGCATTGACTCTTGGCCCTTTCCCCTTGCCTCCATCACCTTTTCCCCCCCAGCAGGACCCATCCCAGGAGAGGAGCCCCACCCCAGGGCAGGCAGTAGGATGCAGCTGGAGGAGCAGCTGAAATCTGTTTCCCAGCTGCTCCTACAAAAGACCAGCCTGTGGCCAAGGCCAGCAGCACCACAGCACAGGGTGGGAGGAGGGTGTTTGATGGCCTTGGGCAGAAGAAACCAGGAAGGTTTGTTGAGGGAGCACTGTGTGCCTGCCCTGGGCACCTCAGCAGAGCCCAGGAGCCAGTCCCTGCCTCACTGGTCCCCAGGGGCTCCAGAGGCTGCACTGGGACCTGCAGCACCATAAACATGGCCCAGGCTGTCACAGGGGCAGGGACTGACACGGGGGGCAGAGAACAGGCTGAAGCAGTCACTATAGAAAATAAAGACTTTATTTTTTTCCAGTTCATAGGACAGTTCCCATTACAGACCATGAACAGGCAGAGACCCCACAGCCAGCAGTGCCCAGGACTCACCCCTTGTAGTGCAGCAAGGGCTGCTCTGGGCTCCAGGGGCCCTGCCCACCAGTACCAGCACAGACTCCTCCCCCGGGGCTCTCCGGGCAGCAAATATTAGTGGGTCAGGTGGTTTTTAAAGCCTCCGTGGCTGTGGTGAAGCTGCAGGGGGGACTGGCAGCACCAAGGTGAGCTCAGGTGCCCTGGGCCCACAGGCTGACTGTCCTTCAGGTGTTCAGGTTTGCTCTCCCATTAGACCTGACCTGGCTGTAGCTGAACTGGTGACAGAGACAGGAGAAAAATCAATACTTGGACAGAGGTGCTGTTCCTGCCTCATGAGAGACAGAAAAAGGCTTAAATTCAGCCAATAGAGGAAAAAATAAAATAGCCAGGTCACCCTTTATTAACAAACACAGAAATGTACCATCAACCTCCTGTTATAAAAGTACTTTACATACATTCAAGGAAACATCGTATAAATATCAGTATGAAATGTCAGTGGCTGCAAGTTCCACGCTCAGCTAAAATTTTACTGACACCTTAAAATTTCCTTAAAACATTTGGAAGTAAACAAACAAAAAGCACAGCCAGCTGCCAGGTGGCTCAGGCCCATGGGCCCAGCACCCTCTGTGAATGCCTGGGCAAACCCAGCCCCTCCCCAGCACAGCTTTCCAGCTGCTTCTCACAGGAGCGAAGCAAAGGGGCTGCTCAGCCGTGCCGGTGGTGGGAGGTTAAGGCACAGGTTTTAATCCCAAAGTTCAGCCAGCCAGAGTACAAAACGTGCTCCCAACAGGCTGCTGCACTGCTTGGGACAGCTCCCAAGCCCGCTTACAGGAGACCTTTGGGTGGGCTGGGACTCACTGAGGGATGTTCAGGACCCAGCACAGACTCTGCTGTGACTCCAAGTCCTGATCCTCTGGAGGTATTTCCGACCCTGGGAGCAACGGGGCTGCTCCTCGGCACAGCTCTGGCTGTAACAGCAACACTGCACAGGGACCCCAGAGGAACTGGGTCTGGGGACCCAGCAGTCACAGAGCTGGAGCTGCCCCAGCTGCCTGGAACAGGTGGGAACACACCTGAGCTCCATCTGGTACAGACAGAGAACAGGCCTGGGGCCTCCTGCTCCTCTCTCCAAACCTGCTGAGCACCCCCAGCACAGCCCCAGGGGCAAACCCTTCCCCTCTGCTGAGCTGCCCAGGGACACCCACACCTGCTCCCCAGATTTCCCTCATGGGATGAGTGGCCCTGCTGCTCCCACACAACAGTGTGTTCCTGCTGCAGAGCTCCTGGGGAAATGTGCCCACCCAGTATCCATCTGGGATCAGAGCAAAAGGCCAACACCTGGCAAGGAGCTGGATGGAAAGCTGATCACTCCCAGCTCCTGTGACCACTTTGGAAAAAAGAATCTCATTTGATTCCAATTTAATTTAAAAAAAAAACCCAAAGGAAACTGGAGCTAGGACAACATGGAAAAGACCTCCTGGGTGCAGTCCCTCAGCACTGGGGACCCAAAGCCCTGGCTGTAGGCACCTTCCCAGCGGTCACTGGAGATTCCCAGGGCACAGCAGAGCCTGTGCCAAGGGGACCCAGCACTGATGGAAACATCCCTCAGCAATGAATGCCATGGAAGGAACGCAGCAAACACATCCCTGCTTGTGTGGGCACAGCGAGTGGGTCAGTGTGCCCTCTGCAGGGACAGACTGGGGGCTGGGGACCAGCAATCTGGAGGGCTCTGGGTGCAGCCACAGGTCTGGCTGGGGTGCAGCACACACCCTCCTCAGGGCAGGAACCCCAGGCAGCTGCTGATCTGCTGCCCCCGGGGTGCAGGGGGAGGCAGAGTCACCAAACACAGCCTGACCTGGCTCAAAGCCAGCCCCTATGCCAGCCCCAGTCCCCAGCTGGCTGTTCCTTGCCCAGGGAGCTGCAGGTCACCCACTCCAGCCTCTTTTCTGAGACAAAGGCAGAAAAATCAGCATTGCCATTCCTCCCAAGGCCAGTGTGCTCCAGGCTGCCAAGTCACAGTGTCTTAGAAAATTAAGTCCCTCTTAACAAGGCATTTGTTTCTCACTATGTAGTTAGGCTAATGCAAAGAAGAATATAAGAAAACTGAATCTGATTCTACTAAAAGGAACTTTCTCTCACACACGGAGTCAGGAACACAGAGATGAAGGTTAACAACCATAGCCAGAGCCTTCTCTGTAACATTCATGAGGATTTAGGAATTAGATTATTCCTAGTCCAGGTGAGGACTCTGTTCACATCTGAACAGTCTGCACCAGTCTGCCATCCTGATGTTCACAGGCGGTTTCATTTTCCTTTACAGGGGGAATCTGTGGGATCTACGGTCCAAGCCAAGGCTGGAATCCAATGGTCTCCTGCTGACTGACAGGACTTGTGCACACATTGACTAGAAGCCACCAGGATAAACTCAGAACACCACCACTTGCCTCTACAAGGAACCACATATCCCAGAAGCATTCCCTTATTTTCTGTTTTCCAGTAATCCCACATTGAGGAACTAAGGACATTGTAATAAATTAACTGCTTTGAACACCCAGGAAAGGAGAGAGGACACATTTTACAGCAATAGAGGTATTTCTGACATTTTCATTAATATTTCCCATGAAAAAAAAACCATAGCTCTTCGGCTTTGCAAAACAAAGAAGGTTCAGCTCTGCCATCAGCGTTTTCCTACAAAAATAAGGTTTTATGTTTACTTGGGTTCTACAACTAAGCTGAATAGAAAGGAGAAGGCTCTTACAAATACTGCTGCTGTTGTATGGCCCCTCCCTCTGGAGACACCTGCCAGAAGCATTCAGCTGGCCCTGGAAGTCCCTTCAGGCAGACAAGCTCTAGCCCTGCTGAGGCTGGGGCTCCTTTACAGGACACCTCTGGACTTGGCAGGACTCCTGAGGAACGACCTGCTGTCATGTTCCACTGTAGATTTTGCATCAGGTATGTTTTCTTCATCAAGCTGAAAAGTGAGTCCCCAAATGTGTGAGATTTCTGCCTCTCCAGTGATGGAGAGGGCTCACAGGAGCTGCAGTCTCGCCTCTGCTCCAGCTTCTTACAGGAAGTCTAACTCCAGGGCTTGGTGAAGGGACACGAGGTCAGCGTGATTTGTGATCCTCCAGAAGGGCATGTTGTGCTGTGACAAAGAGAGGACAGTCAGGTTTATCAGGGACTTTCAGCTGAGGTGGAAGCAGCCAGGGTACAGCTGCAGGGCTGTGCAGGGTGATGGTTCTGAGCACACACGCTCAGGACGGATATCGGCCACCTGCACATCTGTGTCTGGAGCCCATCTGATCTGCACATCTGTGTGTGACAGGCACCAGCACTGACTGCCAGCTGCTCACAATGGAAACCTTGGCTGTGAGCTGCTGCTGCATCCAGGAATGCCTGGCCAGGGTTCCCAGGGAACCTGCACAGGTGGCAGAACGTGTGGAGCCTGCAGAGACAAGGTCCTGACAGTCGTCAGCACTTCACTGCTGTTCATCAGCACAACTGAACAACTCATCTAGGCCTGTCCAAATCAGCCAAACTGCTCCTCGTTTGTAATCCACACTAATGGCAGGTGCTGTAGTGATCTGCTGCTGCCACTGAGCCCCGACCCCTCTGTGCTCCTGAGAAACTGCATTATCCTGACAGCCCCAGGCTATGATCAAGACACAGAATCGTTGAATCATCCAGGGTGGAAGAGACCTCCAAGATTACCGAGTCCAACCTCTGAACATGCTGCATCCAGTGTGCTACACCAAGACACTGCTTACAGCGACAGTGTTACATGCAATCCTAAACAACAGTAAAACAGAAACTTTAAACCCCCAAGAGCCAGAAAACAGCCTATCTTACCACAGTGGAAGATCTCTTGCAAAGACAAACTTCGCCCCTGGCTGCCCCAGCCTGAACTGTTCAGCCTTGGAACAGGAGTCACTGCAGGCAAAGCCTGCTGCAGTGACCTCCCTTTGAACTGCCCCACAGCCACCTCTGCAGTCAGACCCACCTGCTTGGCCGCCACCTCCTCGTCACGCCCATCTCCGATCACCACGTAGGTGACCTTCTTCCCAAACCGCGACACGATCCTCTCGAAGCAGCTCTCTTTACCTGCCAACACAACCCACTGCTCAGGAGCCTCAGGCAGAGAGAAACGGCAGTCTGAGTAGGTCCCTTCCTTCCAGAAACACATTCTTGTCTTTCTGGGAGGGCATAACACCCAGTTTAGCTCCTGAGGCCAGAAGCCATGACCAGCTGGGCCACAGCATGAAATGGCATTTCCCATGTAAAACTCCCAGCAGACACTGCAGTGGCACAACCCCTTACCTATTTTTGTAGCACTATAAATATTTTCGATGGGAAACACTTCGCCCAATCCATACAGGAGAACTTTGGCAAGAGCTGGCATCAGTTGGGTGGTTGTGATCAGGATGTTCTCGCAGTTTTTTCTAAAAGAAGAAAAACACTTGTAACAGCACATTGTAACAAACAAGTTTTTGCTTGTTTGCTTCTGGAAGAATTCTCTGGCAGAAAAGTGCTTTGGTGAGCATGGGGACCTTCCTAACTTACAGGTGCTGCAGCAAACAAATCCTAAATGGTGCTGAGGGATGGAGTTCTTGCTCTCAGACACTTTGGCTCTGAGCAGCAGTTTGTGGTGCTGCACGTGACCCTGAGCGCTGCGAGAGCCAAAACGCACTGCCAGGTTCCATACCTGGACTGGATGAGCAGCAGGGACTTTAATGCCGTTTCTAGCCAGGAATCTGTCAGCACTTCTATATCAGTCCTCAGTCGCTGCAGAGCTTCCCTCTTCTGCGGGCTAAGCAGGCCTGGAAGGTAAGGAACACGTGTTTGCCCAGCTGAGCTGGCAAGTCTGGCACAGAGAGAGCTGTGCCCCAGTGCACCAGCTGCCTGCTCTGCAAGAAATAACACAGAACTGAAGGCCTCTGGAAGCTGGACTGTCTGTCTTGAAGCACCAAGAGAAACCAGCTTCCAGTGACATGGATGAGCCCAGACATCCATCCGGGAGTCTGACTGGGGGACTGGGCAGATGCTTTTCTCTGATTATTTCAAAGATTTCTCAGGATACAGGCAGTCAAATGCACTTCTCTCATACAAAGCATTCACAGCAGCAGGAGTCCACGGCCACAGAGCAGGGGAAGGAACTCCTGCAGTCACCCCCTCTGACTGCATTCTTCCCAAGGACCTTTTCCACTTTAACCCCTTTTATGCATCTTTTTTAAAACTGCCCTCCCTTTTTTTTTATTCCCTTGTTTGTAATCTCTCTTCTATATAATTCTCTCCAAGCCTCCAGTTTTGAATTAAAAGCAGCCAAAAATGGAGCCCATACACTCAAACTTGCTCCTTTCAGTAAACACAACAAGAAAGGAGCACATGGAGCCTGCACATCCCTCCCAGCCGTGAGGGATGAACTCCCTCATTCCAGCCCTGGAGCGCTCCAGTCCTCTGCAACGAGGCCATGGAGGGACCCCCAGTGCTGCATTGACAGCTGCTTTACCACGTGGTCCTGAAAAACTCTGCATCCAGGTTTCTCACATGCAGAATACAGAACCACAGTCTGATCCCTGCCAGAAATCAGGTGACTCCAGCACCCTGAACTGCAGACTTACACTGACAGGCTGAAAGTTGTAGTTTTGAACACCCGGTTTTTAGAAAATTTGTCCAAGAAAATGATCTATCAAGGGTGGTTTTTTTGTGTAGGCAAAGGGTATCCAAACCCACAACTACCAGGCCGAGTCACCCTGCCAGGTGAGCTGCTCCAGCAGCATCCCTTTCTTTCCCAGTGACAGCAATGCCAAGATTCAGACTATACAGAAAACTCATCTGCATTTGCTCACTGTGAATGAATGAATGAGTTTGCTCACAGCAGAAGGCCAACCTTTCATCCTAAATTAGCAAAGGGACACTGTATGCACCACAACTTTGTTGGCTCCAGGACTGACTGACCACCCCTATCTCCATGATAACTCAGCCTGCACTAGCATGCTGTTCAGTTTTGGGAGATGTACTCCTGTGGATTCCATGGCAATTTGATCCCAGTTAGCACTAGGAGAATGGTTTACTTCTCATGTCCACACATTCAGAAAAGCCAAAACTCTGAGGAAGGACAGAGTCTGGCCCCACAAGCTCTGCTCAGTGCTCAGATCTTGGTGCAGGTGACCACTCACCTCCAACGTCAGTTTTGTATTTGTTGTAGATCTCGCGTACCCTGCGGTAGCGGAAGGCCAGTTTCCTCATCCAGTCCACTCCCTGGACTCCAACCGAGGAGCTGTGGTTTGCATTGCTGCCTGAGCCACTGAACCCATCCGTGGAGAAGTTGTAGTTGCTGTTGCAGGAAAGCAGCCGTGTTAGCTGTGCCACAGCAGCAGAACCCCTGCAGCGTTCACAGCAGCGCTGACAGCAGACAGAAAATACCTGGGAGAGGAACTGCACAGGCACCACAGCACCTGGAGAACAGAACCCAGCTCCTACAGGAACACACTGATACCCAACTAGAGCTGCTGCTGGCTCTGAACTGCTACACTCATACAATTCCCTTCACATCCTCCACTACAAAGCCCTCCTTTGCCCTTTGGCTGCTCACTGCTCTGGGATATGGAGCATCCTTCCCACTGGCCTCTTTCTCATCCTGCAGTGATAAACTCCAGCACAATAAACACATCTGTGCCTTTCCATCACAGTTGCAGCTCCACAAGCAGACGAGCTGCTTCACCAGCTTATGACTGCAGGAAGCAAGTCCTGCTTCACCACTTTCCCTGTATTTCTTTCTCCCTGACAGGTATTTTTCAGATGATCATGGGCTCACAGAATGGTTTAGGTTGGACAAGAACTTCAAAATCATCTCCTTTTAAACCCCTGCCAAGGGCAGGGACACCTTTCACTAGAGCAGGTAACTCAGAGACCCACCCAACCTTGTCATCATGAGATTTGGAGTGTAGGTTCTCCATTCTTCACGAGCCATTGAACACTGAGGCAGCATTCAGCTGTGGACAATATAATTCACAATCTAATTTCCAAACTCTTAATGCTTTGTAGGTCTTCAGAGAAACAGCCCCCAGCAAACAAACACCGCTTGCCAGGTTTCATCCTCTGCACAAAGCTGACCTCCATCCCTTAATACCAACTGGGTTTCCAGTTCCCACCACACCTGATTACATCAGCAATACATTTCCTGCATTTGTCAGTACAACACCTTAGATCTTGGCCGTTGTCATCAGATGCCACATCTTCTATGTGTACCTGGTCACACTCCTGTTAAAGGAGAAAACAGAAACAGTGTCACACTGTGGTAATCCAGAAACACACTCAAATTTGCAGATTGAAAAAACTGTGATATAAACCGATCCCTTCACACTTCCCAACAGCAACAAGCCATTCCACATCACCTCCACAAAACCCACTAGCTCTGTCTGGTAGTACTGGGTTTTACTGCCCAGCCCTTACAGGTTCTTGCCCAGACTGGGATCTGAAGTACCAGAAAGGGCTGAAAAAAGCAAGTTTATATGACATTTTGACCTGTCTGCAAAAAGAGAACTCTGACACTCCCTGAACAGGTTGGACTCAAAGCTCACTTGTCATTTGAAACCCTTTTGTCACTTCAGAAAAGCAAAACAAACCAAATCAAAAATATCCCAAAACTGCATTATCTGGCCAAGCATTGCTATTCCATTTTCTCAACACCAGGTCAATGAAGCCACAGCAGGAACTCTGAATGGCACAGCAGTGTAGTGGCACTGCCATGACTCTGGTGCTTAATGCAGCTGATTTAACCCACTAACCTACTGATTTAACCTACCAACCAACACCTACAGCAGCACGTGCTGTGGCTGAGCACACAACTAACAGATCAACAACTCCCTTTCCAGCACAAGACACAAGTGTTTGCGTTTGGGTTTTTGTTGGTTTTTTCCCCTGAGGCAGGGAGGTAACTCATGACCACCTTGTCAAAGTTCGCTGCAGCCAGCAGTCACAGCCACAATGGAAATGTCATTTAAGTCTGTTTGCATCAACAAAAGCATCTTGTTTTCCCATGATGTGCCTCAGTGATGCACCTACAAGTAACTGTTGTGTGATCATATTCAGCTTTCCTAGGCAGGATGGGAACAGGAGGGCAGCAGGGGCTTGCAGGAAAGGAAAAGGGAGGGTGCTGTGGACCCTCCATGTGTACAGCACACTTGTCTAGGGCAGCATGTCCTTCAAAGCTGGTACACAGCTAATGTCACCTCTTGTATTCTGTCCTTGGCTTAGTCACAGCCCCTGAGGACTGACATCCTCAAGGTCATCTTGTCCTCACATCTCTGGTCTCCCTTTCAAAACAGGATCAGTGGAAGCAAAGTACTCACCAGTCCAGAATGCAAGTACAAGACAGAGCAGACACCATTGTTTTTATCTGCATGGGTTCAAGCAGAAACCCAGCAGAACCCGAGAGAGCTCCTGACACTAAAAGGCTGCAGAATGTGCCTCAGGTAAGACTGCATCTCTGATTTGGTTGTGCTTACAACCACTTCAGCTTTGTCAGACTGTCATGTTTCAACAGTAACAGGCTCTGAAGTACAAGAGCCCTCACAAACAGTGAGTGCAGTGTCATCCAAACATGGTAATGTGGAGTTCTGCCTTTGCCATGTACCTCCAAGTCATTGAAAAACAAGTGAGTATCAGCGACTTCAAAAATCATCTCCTCCATGGACAGACCTGAGCCAATCACTAGGGTTGGATCCTGGCAAAACACAAAGAGAAGTAAATCCACTGTGGATACAGGCAGAAGGGAATTGTCATAAATCCTCATCAGTTAAACTACATAGTTTCCACTCTATGTCAAACCTGATTAATTCCAGCTACTATCAATAGTGTGAACTACAATTTCCCAAATATTTTAAACAACTCAATTGAAAAAAAAAAAAAGAGAAATCCACATTCTGGTGCATCGACCCAAATGTCAGTCTGGTTCATTGACTCAAAATGTAACAAAACACTTCAGTGCTGCACAGGAGGGACTGATGCATTTTCACAGTCAGCACGAACAAAACATTAAAAAATCTACAATATATTTTGAAGGAGAAAAACCCCCTTCCTTTCCCTATGTGCTAGGATCTCAGTAATTCCCAGTGAGGATCAGTTTGACATTTTAGGACTTGCATTGTCAGAAGGGAAGAGTTGGTGATGTCCATCTCCTAGTTCTGTATAAAGCCAAATTTAACATTCTTTCTCCACCCCAAACTGCCAACAAGTTAATTAAAAGTATCACCTTTATATATAAAACTAAATGTCATTTTCTGTTCCTGTTCCAAAGACTAATTTAATTCTGTAAGACAGAAATGTTTGGGGTTTTTCCCATGGAAAAGACAGTATTACCTTGCCATATTTTTGAGCATAAGACCCTGTGAGAAGTGAATGGAAGATGATGATGGTCTCATCCAGGTCCCAGAGAAACACCCTCTGCAGAGAGAACAAAAGAAGGTTAGAGCTGAGATATTCCAGGCACTGCACTACAATAAAGGAGCCAGTTTTAGGGTTAATTTTGTGGTTAGCTGCAGTATGCTTTTAACAGGTATGAGCACCACTTCTCAGCTTACAGGCTGAACACATTCAACTCTCCAATTTATTGCAGTGGAGTTTATACACTGCCCCAGGAGTACATACTCAGACTAAAGCTCTCTTGGTCAAACTATGTCAAAAGCTTCTCTTGCTTTTATAGTTACAAAAGCAAAAGCTTAGAGTGCTAATGAACCTTAGACACCTGCTGAAGTGGAAGTGATCTGAAGAGCACCAGGCATGTGACTTTGATGTTTGTCAGAGAAATCTTTGTTATAAATGAAGTGACAGGCTGCCCTGAGGAATGGCAGAGTGCCAGTACAGAGAGACTTTGGGAAACTTGAGAACTGGGCCAACATGTGGAGTGGAATAGCCTGGTGCAGGTTGAAAGTGCTGGAGGGCAGAGTGGACACCGGCACGAGCCAGCGGCACTCTCTCCCTGTGGATGAGATGACCTACATGCTGGAGTGTGCCACGTGTGCCAGGCTAACAGAAGATGCTGTCTCACCCTACTTGGCCCTGGGAAGGTCACCCCAGATCGCATCCCCAGCTCCAGGGCTCTGTGAGGAAAAAAGAGCTGCCAGCAAAAGGCTGTCAGGATGGTCAGCAGCCCAGAGGAGAGGCTGAGGGAGCTGGGAGGGATTAGCTCGGCAAAGAGGAGACTAAGGGAGATCTAACAGCACACCACAACTATTGGAGAGGGAACTGCAAAGATGATGGGCACAGATACTGAGGCCTCCCCACCCTCACAATAAAGATTTTTTTCTTAATATCTAATCTAAACCTACTCTCTTGCAATTTGAACCCAGGGGACCAGACCTGTTAGTAAAGCCTTAGTAGTGATGGACAAGGGGGAATGGTTTAAATGCAAAGAAAGTAAATTTAGACTATATGTAAGGAAGACATTTTTTACAATGAAAGTAGGCAGGCCCTGGCACAGGTTGCCCAGGGAAGCTGTGGCTGCCCCATCCCTGGAAGTGTCCAAGGCCAGGTTGGACGGGGGTTGGAGCAACCTGGGATAGTTGAAGTCATAGCAGGGGGGTTGGACTAGATGACCCTTTAAAGGTCCCTTCCAACCCAAATCATTCTATAATCCCCTTCCATTTCCATGGAGACAGAATGAAAAAAAAGAGGAGAACTTTTACCACCACACTATTCTGCAATGTGACCTGTAGAAAACAACATTACCTCCAGTTCACTGTCCTGTGAGGAGGAGGTATCTGCTTTCCTCTTCCCTCTGTTCTTCCCAGGGATGTTTTTTCTTGCCTGCTCATCTAACTCTTTACTTGCTGTTGCTCTTGATAATGAAGGACTTGTGGATGCATCTCCTAGAAGAAAAAAATCACACAGCTCTCACCCCCTGATGTCTCAAAACAAACACCAATACAGCACTGGCCACACACCTGCTTTGCAAAAGGTAAGAATTACCTTGCTATACGGATGCAGTAGTAGTTGAACCCTTACTAGAACATAAAACATGATTTCTTGGTCCCACTGTTTCAAAGCAGCTCTGTCTCCTCAGTGCAGTCCCCCAGGACTGAGCGACTGCAAGAGCTACTGCCTGCAGAGCAAAGCCAGAGCAGAGCACCCTCCATCCTAAGGCCTGGAACCCTGCCATCATTTCACTACCCTGGAACTGCTTTATTATTCAGCTGTTTCATTTAACAGACAATTAAACATAAAAGAGTAACAGAGGTGATGTTGGCCAAGCAGCATGGCCATGGCTGACGGGAACACAGAGGCTGTTCTGCTACTGGTAAGAACATCCTTCCCAGGGAAAGGATACACCACCTGCAGAAAAACCACTGCTCTGACGTGCAGGGTATTAGGACCATAAGAGTCTGTGAATGCTTTATTACCAGCTCAGGCACCTGCCTAACTAGGTCCAAAATAGGACCAGACCTGTTGCAGGACGGCAGAGGGCAAGGGGGCTTGGAAGAGCTTGAATTCAGTCTGGGGCTTGAAGAAGTCTGAGGCACTGCAGTTCCTATGAAAATTAATGCAAAATGGTGAACTTGGAGAATTCCTGAGCTAAGAACATGGCACTGAAAACATCAACAACTGGGCCATTTCTTGCCTTGAAATGAGAGGTTCCTTAGGTTTGGTTTTAAGAAGCAAATGGGAACTAATTCTCATGGGTGAATCCGCTGTTGTTCACCTCAACTAGAGGGCAACTGCTTCCTGAAAGTGGGCAAGTGCCTGAAGCCCCACACTTCTTGATGTACAAGATCACAGCATGGTGTTTGTCACTCCTGTCGATAGCATCCCATCAGATAAAGGTTTGGAGAGAGCTTTGGAACTTCACTGAGGGCCAGACTACAGATTTGTATGCTTGTCTCACTGGCAGCCACCCATTCCTGCTTGCAGGGTGCATGACTGAGCTGGGGGACTGGGCAGAGCTCAGGTGCTCCTGATGGAGTGGGGGAAGATGGAGGAGGCAAAGTGCTGCAGAGCTCAGCACCTCCCACAGCAGGCTGACACCCAGCCCCTCTCCAAACAAGAGCTACCCTACAGCCAAACCACACACCCCCTCCTCTTCCTCTGCTTCAGTTTTTATTGCTGAACATGACATTATATAGTATGGAAAATCCCTTTAGTCAGCTTAGGTCAGCTGTCCCAGCTGTGACCCCTTCCAGGTTCTTGTGCACCCCAAGCCTGCTTGCTGGGGAGTGTGGAGGGGAGAAAGCTCTGACCCTGTAAAAGCACTGTTCAGCAGGAGTCAAAACACCCTGTGTTATCAGTACTGCTTTAGTCAGGAATCCAAAACACAGCATCAGCACAGATGCTGGGAACAAAGTTACCTCCAGCCCAGTCAGACCCAGGGCACCAACAAAAATGAATGGAATCTGGATTTTTTTTCCCCAGCCTTCCAATCTGCAACAGGCAGATTTCAATTTAAAACTGCTCAACAACACAGGAACAATCTCATAACTCCTTGCACAAGACACTGGAAGAAGCACTGAGTCTTTGCTTGCATCCTTGGTTAACTTAAGAAACTATTCTTCAAGAAGGAATTTTAGCCAGCACCTCTGAGGCTGGGACAAAACCCAGCATTGGTGAGAATGGCCAAAGGTGTGACTTCTCTAGAACAAGCAATTAAACCTTCTCAGTACACTTCCTACTTCCCTAAAATCAGCTAAAATCTTCTCTACCGGACAAGTGCCAGGGACTGACTGCTGTGCAGATGCAGATGTGCTCACAGCAAAGCACAGCACAACAGCTCTCAGTTCAACCAGGGTTTGCAGTGATAAGGCAGAGGAAAGGAGGGGATGTACTGCTGGGCATGTCAGAGACCAGCACAGTCAGAGGGGATGGCTGAACCACAGCTCCTGAAAAATCAGGAGCAGTCCCAGGGGACTCCCACGACTGGGCCTGGCAGCTCTGTCAGGTAATCTGAACAAGGGCTGTGGGAGGAAAAGATGCAGCAGGAGCTACTGAGACTGAATATCAGTGACTGCCCTGTAGTCCCAGCGAACACCCAGTCCCCAGAGAGCTGCTGCTGCAACTCTTCAAGTCGCCCCCAGCACTCCTCTCTTTCCCTGGGGCACGCAGAGCACGTGGTGGGTTATCTCCGAATCGCAGCAGGAGGAGATCTCTGACACACGGCTGGCTGGCCCACCACGATACTCTGCACACCAGTGAGACCAGAGACAAGGAGGGCAAGAATCCTGTCTGGGCCAGCATGAAAAGATGCTGCAAGTACCTTCAGGAGGGGAGTTTTGCCCATGCCTGCCCCTGCACTGCAGAGCACAGGTGCTCTCAGCCCCCCTTGCAGCCTCACCAGACGGGGGTCTCTGCGCTGCCCGCGCCGCAGTTGCTTTCTCGGCCGGGTAGGTGGTGGTGGCCAACGCCAGGCTGTCCGTGCTGCTGTCTGCTGGTGGCACCACTCCAAAGCCTGAGGTCGGGTAGCACGTCTGGTACTGACTCTGGCCAAGGATCGTGTATGTTGGATACTCCTGTTGGAGGAAAGCGTTAGTGCTGGGAGGACACCCCTGTTAGAAAACACTCTGAGTTGGGACAGCTTTTGTGCCAGAATATCCTGTCAAAGGAAAATCCACAGGCTGACTTTATGCTGTTTCTTTCTGCATATGTAAGACATTTCCCAAAAAGGGCTGAGAGCTCTGACCAATGACCCCTGTGCAAGCAGGTTTTGCAGAGGAGGCCAGTGATCCCAGAGCCACTCCTCTGCCTCCAGTGTCTGCAAAAACAAATTCATCATGAATGATCTGACAGTAACAAGGGAGTTAAGTGGATGCCAAATTACCAGTGCACTCTGTGCTCTGGAATGTGTGGTTTTGTCTCGCATTTTCCTTCCTTGTATCAGACGTGCTGACAGCGACAGAAAGCGACTTCGGCCCTGGCTGAGGGCACAACCCCAGCCACGAGAGGTACAGGATAAACCATGTCCTGACTCCATCAAGTAATTATTTTGCATGCTGTGATGAAAGGTATCCATTTATGAAAGTATTTATTCATTTAGGAGATCACTGAGCACATGGAGCTGTGCTTGAGGATTTTAATTTCTGATACTGACAGTAAAAAAAGTAGTGTCCCCAAATGTCACGTCACACTGCCCTGGCACGCTGTGTTCTCCTGATTGCCTCAAAGAACAGCCTGGGTTTGTGAACCAGGTACCTTGGTTTGAAATACTGAACAAAAATCTTTTTTCCCCTTACAGTTCCAAGCAAGTTTATGCTATTGAAAGAACTTTATAAAGCAACAGCATAAGCACAGAAGTGTTTTTGTGCATCCACTGCATTTTCCACACTTCCTGTATTCTCTTTCTGCAAAGTTGGACACTGCAGGGCCCCTTTGTGTCCTCAGAATGGCAGTTAACCACTGACAGGGCTGTATCACCACCCATGGAGGTGACAGGCAGGGGGAACTGCTCTGTGCTAGCCTGCAGGGCTGTTTGCCTTTATTCTACTCTAGCACCATCAGAATGTACCTCCCACTTTACTGGGCTGGGGGTGTGTGTACAACCTAATTTCCTATTCTTGCTGAGGGAGAACAAAGGCATCCAAAAACCATCCACCCCTAATCCTCCCTGTAGGTCAAGTCTTCAAAATAGTTCTATTGTTTCTTCCAACACTGTCTCTCTTGCAGAAATCTCAGTTGAAGACTCACCTCACAATCTGCAGATGAGGCAAGAGCTTTGAAAGGATGAAGGCAGTTTGTTGCTAAGATCAAAGGGAGAAGCATCATGGTCAGAGACATGAGAGACATGGTCAGAGACAATCACAAGAGTGATTTAGTGACTCTGAGTTACACACTGAGCCCTGCAACTGCAGTACCACTGTGCTCCATTTGAAGTGATGCAAATACTTGGTGTTCCCATGTTAATTTTATGTAACGTGTTAAACAAAGGTGAAGGAGATGCTGCAGATAAATTTACCAAGGAAGACTTACCTGTGAGATGCTGGCTACTGCTGACGTGGAAATATTGACAACAGTTGAGGATGTAGAAACTGGACTGGCATTGGTAGTTGATGCTGTAAAATTAAGAATTACCACATTAAATGCTTCTAGAAAAGCACAGGACATGAGAAGTTGTGAAATAAATACTTACTAGTCACATGTGCAAGCACTTGTGCTTCCAGCAGCACTCTGCTGCTAATAGCCAAAAAAGGGATGGGGTCTATTTTGACACCAGTTACATTTCAACTGGGTTTACAGAGAAGCTGTTTTACTCTTCAAAAAGTCCTTTCAAATGGTTCAGAAGCCTTTTCCAAGCCTTTTCCCTTCATGGCTGCTAAGCAATTGGTGTAGAATTAGAAAGGTTTCACATTTTTACTATGTTTTGATAAGACAACAATCATATTCTGATGCTTAATCAGTAGCAGTTGAAAATGAATCAGAATAAATCAATAAAAAGGAAGAATGTGAATGTGTTTAAATCAGTTCTGATAAAAAAAATTATCTCCACATTGAACTTGGCATATTTAGTCTAATTAGATCAAAAAATTTAAGGAAACAGTAGGAATATTTCCAATAGTAGAAAAAGAGTGTTTTCTACTGGAGAAAGTGAACATCTCTCCCCACATCCCTGTGAGACTAGAATATGGCTTTTTGGATCTGACTTTCTGAAATAATCTGTCAACAGCTCACAGGACAAACTCTTACAGATATGTAGTTGTTAGTATGAACTTGAAAATGGTAGCCTTCATGTCACTGCATTCAGTTCACACAAAATTCAGGAGAGGCTGCTAGAGCACCATTTGGGAACAAGTTGTTTAGCAGATTTGGGGGTTTTGCAGCCCCAATGCCACTCCATTAAACCCACACAGGGATAACAACAAATAATGAAATCAGCACCAACAAAACCAGGATGTATAAAACCAGGTGCCACCAAGAATTACTTTCTTTTCTAAGCCACCTTCCTCTGCACACAAATAAAACCAAAAATCACTTTTAGATGCTTATGTGAAGACTTGCAGAAATCCATGGTATCCCCTACTTTACCATCACTCTGAAAAAAGCCCTCACTTCCTGCAAATACCACCATGCAGAATCCACCCCAGAACTGGAGCCCCAGGAAAACAAACCCACCAGGAACTCTCAACCTGTGTATGTTGTGTTATGGCAACCACAGATACTAGCTGGTGGCTCCTGGAAAGAGGAATGGATCCCAAACAGATGAGAAAACAAAAGGAACATATCTTAAAAGAGGTGCAGAAACACACAGTGTTTACAGGAGGTGAGAAATGTAAAGGGTGGCATCTCTCCAGAAGCAGAAACCAGTAATTAGCCCCTGGGAATCCTCTCACAGACAGGAGCAGCACTGTTCAAAACAGAGGGGAGAGAATTTTGGGGGGAGAACATTTAGCAAAAGGCAGAAAGGCTGCACTGAACAGCAATAATGGCCATGAAGACACTCAAGGACCTCCAATAACTCCACAGCTACAAAAGGCCCAGCTGAGAGAGCCAAGGGACCCGTCACAGACACTCCTCGTAACAACTGCTGAGCACAGGGGGCAGTTTCCAAATCAAACTCCTTCCAACTACACCTGTGGAAACTACTGAGCCTGGCATGATCTCACGAGAAGGTCTCCTCCTAGGCCCCTACAAAGTCCAGCTCTCCAGAAAAGACCCTCGCTAACCAACCAAAGCTGCCACGCAGCCAGGGCAGAGGAATTCTCTGGAAGAGAGATTGTTCCCCCACTGCTCTCAAGATTGTTATGGGGAGCAAAGAGAAAGCAATTCTCATCTGTAGTGCTCTGCAGAGACTGCTTCTCCACTGAGATTTGATTACAGGAGTTAAGAAATCATAGAAAAAAGATTCCAAGGTTTGGCATTCCCTCATATGAACTTCACTGTTTATCTTAACTCTGGCCTCCCTCCAACATTCTTTGTAATTACCCTGTGTCTATACAATGCTACAGATCACATCTTTCCAAACAGCTCCCATCAGATGAACCAACAGATGAACCAATTTTTATGCATTGTGGGCCAGCTCCTTTTACGTGTGAATGGGCCAGAACCACGCAAAAATATTTGGCACAGATCTGCCAAAAGGGACCACTTCAAGGCCTTAGGTTTTAAAAGATCAGCAAACACAAGCATTGCCTTGAAGATGCTGTGACTCTTCTCTCTTTCTCCCCCTTTTCCAGACCTACATCCTTACCTCCCCCGCCTTATTCATCCCCATCTGTTTTGCTTCAATCATTTTAAAGAGAGCCAAACCCAGACCCATGCACCGAAATTCCCCTCCCGTTGGTCAGTGGCATTGGACAACTGTGCATCACCCTGATGATTTAAGTGGAGAGAAAAAATATTCCAGGGAATATTAATAAAGCAACTTTGTTCATCCTTGCAGCTTCTCCCCTCCACCACCTCCCTTGCACCACCCCCTGCACCAACCTCATCCCTTGCTTGGCTGCTTGTTAATTTGATGAGAATCCGAAAGAAGAAATGATTCCTGCCAGTGTGCAACAAGTTTTACCAAAAAGTGACAGCATTTACACGGTTGGGGTGACTTCTGCACACTTTCAGAGAGGAGTCTGCAGGGAAACTCCTCACATCACACATTGTCCCAGCAGCAACAATTAAAATTGTTCTCCTATGGGGAAGGATTCCATCTCAGTGGAAGCCTAAGAAAGCTGGAGTTGTTCAGCTTGCAGAAGAGAAGGCTCTGAGGAGACTTTAGAGCCCTTTCCAGTGCTTCAAGAGAGCTGGAGAAGGACTTTGGACAAGGGCCTGGAGTGACAGGACAAGGGGGAAAGGTTTCCCACTTGCAGAGGGCAGGGTTAGATGGGATATTGGGAAGAAATCGTTCCCTGTGACAGCAAGGAGGCCCTGGCACAGGTTGCCCAGAGAAGCTGTGGCTGCCCCTGGATCCCTGGAAGCATCCAAGGCCAGGTTGGACAGGGCTTGGATCAGTCTGGGATAGTGGAAGATTCCCTGCCTGTGGTAGGGGGTGGAACTGGATAATCTTTAAGGTTCCTCCCAACTCAAATTATTCTGTGATTTTATAATTCTTCCGCAGAGCGAGGCCTGACATGAGTCTGTCCCCTCACCAATCCCCAGGGATCCACCTGCTCCCCATGGGACATCACTGGGAAATCTGCCATGGGTCATGTTATGCAGAACCATTCCCGATCCTTGGCAGTTAAAGCAGGTGCTATAAAACACGGTAATTCATTCTGCCAGTGGGAATATGGGGAGGAGGGTCACATTGGAAGAAGGGGAGTATTTCCAGTATTGTTTTCTTCACAGTATGAATGTGAAAAGTAAATTAAGGATAAACATTACACTGGGCCATTGACTGTCAAGCTGAGCAAGTACCATGATATAGCATGTGGCCTTCTTGTCAGTGAAAGATATGCTAAAACCCACTTAGTGCTAATTTTAAGAATTATTTCCCCTTTCTTGGCACTTATCAGATCACATCTGGAGATGGCATTCAGTTCATGGCCTCAGCACAAGAAATATGTTAATAAAATTCAGTGGGTCCAGCAAAGAGACACCAAAGCAGTCGGGGAGATGGGGCACATGCCCTGAGAGGGGCAGTTTGGCAGGGAGGTGCTGTCCAGCTAGGGGAGGAGATGGCTGCGGGACCTGCCATAGCCTGCTGATACCTGCACAGCGTTTACAGAGCCAGGCTCTTCCTGCAGGTGCACAGCTGGCGGAGGAGGGAAATGGTCACAATTTGAAATGGGAAGGGAAAGGGAAAGGGGAGAGGGGATGCTCTCCTTGACTTGACAAAAGAAAAAAGTTCCACCATGATGACAGTCATGGTGGTGGAATTGGCAAAATCTCAGGTGCTGGAATTGGCAAAATCTCCATCCTCAGAGGTTTTGGAGACCCAACTAGATAAAGCTCTGAGCAAGCCAGCTCTGAATCCAGTATCAACTACTCTTTGAGCAGGAGCTGAAGTTCTCCTGAAGTCCCTGAATTATTCTTGACAGTATTCCACAAGAAACAGATTAAGAATTCCTGAAGCACTTTTTAAATTTTTCAGAGACATAGACAAATTTCACAGTTCATCACCAAAACATAAATGGCAAAAATCCAGCCTAAAAAATAAAGTGCAAAGTTGTACACGTTTGCCATAAGCAACAATATTCCATTATTTGGCTATCTGGCACATTCACTCCTAAAAACTGCTGTGGAAGGTGGCGAAATTCAGCACCTGCCTTCTCAGATGTGCAACTTCCAGCAGCTGGAATATTTGTAGGCTAGTTCTATACTGAGAAATCCACTTCCTAGCAGATCTACCAACCTGGTGTGTGTGTGTGATGTGCAAGAGCCATCTACCTCCAGAAGGAATTAAAACCAAACGTTTCAAAATCCAAGTACTTCCTGACGTCAAGCTCAAGACCACAAACAAAGAGAAATGCACGAGCACTCCCAGTAAAGCATGCAAGAACACAACACTGAGTCTCCTCTCCCCATCCCACTCGCTCCTCAGCCTGTTCAGCCCAGCATGGCACTAACGAGCCAGCCTGGGGCACACACAGGCACGAGGCAAACACAAACACACACAGGCACAAAGAGGAAAGAGGCAAAGCATGAAGAGCATGCACAAACCAGGGACAAGCGTGCAAGCCTCTCTAGTTTGCTATCTGGACTCAGTTAGGTGGAGAGAGATGCAGATAAAAACCATGCCAAGTTACCTTCAATGGAATAAGAATAATGTGCTGGGCTGGGCTGGCTTGTGGTTAACCCTGTAGTGCAGGTAAGAACACTGTGCTGACTTGTAGATGGAGTCTGAATTAAACCACTTTCAGGTTTCATACCTGGCCACAGTGCACCTGAATCAGATAAATTGGACCAGTTACAAATATGCTGGGACCAAAAGCATGCTGCTACCTCAGAGCAAGGTTTTTGCTCATCACAGAGTAACAAATGACACATGGAAAATGTTTAATTTTGGCAATAGCGAGCACTGGCTGTGAGGCTGTGCACAGATTAGAGATGCTGACAAAACTGGCTGAAAAAGAGAAAATTAAAAGCACCAACAAGACCGATTCGTAAAGCTTTCAACTAAAAATCTGTTTGTGTCACTAAGATTCACTGCCCTGTGGGAATAAAGGACCTGCCAATCCCTCTGCACAGGCTGAGCTGCACAGCACTGCAAGTCACATCAGCTGTTGCACAGCCAGGCTGAGGTTGGGACCTATGAAGGTCAAGGTCAGCACTTCCACTAATTCACTGGGCTTTGGGTTGAGTATTTTAAAACAAGCCACAAGTCAGTAATTTTCAAAGACTGACAACAACAAATATAGAGCTCAAAAACCAAAACAAACAAATAAACAAAAACAGCTAAAAAAAAGAACCCTAAATGTTTCTTCTGGATTTCCAGTTGCTCTGGAAAGCTTGTGTAACAAGCCTGGGTACAGCACAGAGGGAGCCAAGTGACTGTAATTCTGTGTCCAGGGCACCCACAGCAGTGTGGTTCAGCTCAGGTGCCACGTTAGGGTCAAGGCAACTGCACTGACAAGTGCCAACAGTGTCCCACTGAGGCAGCTCAGCTCAGGCCTCACTCTTCAAGGCTCTTCAGGCTCTCCTTTGAGTGTTTCCAGATCTGCAGCCAAAGTCAAAGACAGTTCTCCCCTGCCCTGGTTAGAAAGCAGGAATAGGTTGAGAGGATCTGCTTAAAAACAAGCAGGAGTGTGCAAAGCAGAGGGACAAAGGATGTTTGGAGCTAGACACAGAGTTCAGGGCCATCAGGAAGACCTTTTAACCCTCCCTTTTAATCCCCCCAAAACCAGTACCAGGGCGGCAGAAGCCACCTGCAGCCCTCCACCTGCTCCAGCAGGACAAGCCATGGGCTATGAGCTCCAGGTCTCCTGCTCTATTGAGCTGGACAAGAGATTGCTGCAGCTTTGTCAGAAATAAATTCTGCAATAGACCTTTGATATATTTACATACCTGATCTCAACATACACCTATGAGTCAAATCACTCCCCTCTGTATAGCCAGTCCTAGGTTGACACTGAAGTTGCATCTTTGTTACCATTTCAAAACCACAGTAATTAGCAAACGGAGCCCCTGGTGGTCTAGTGGTAAAGGCGCGGCGCTATCACCGCGGAGACCCGGGTTCGATTCCCGGTCAGGGCCACTCCCGGGCAGGTGGGGCTCGTTAGCCCTTAAAGGCAACCCACCTACGTCCTGAGGACCTCGCTGCCACCGTCCAAGCTCGCTTGGCCCCGGCAGATGAACCTTAGGATTAAAGGGTGGGCTCAGTTCCACGCACACTGTGTCTCACCTAAAAAATCCAATGCGCAGGCTGGAAGGTGTAAAGACCTTCCCCAGATCTTCACTTGTGAAGACTGGCCATTATTATTAATTAGCAAACAAAAGGGAAAGGCTGATTTAAGAAAGATTGTAGATACATTATAGAAACTCCAGGACAAAACATATGGGAAACAGATCCTCTAAGGAGAGCTGGAATAGCTGTGTTTGTTTAGTCTGACAAGGGAGTGCCACCGTCTCCAAATGGGTGAGCAGTTTTTATCGGGGACAGTAACCAGCAGCTCCCTCCAGTACAAGAAAGAGGGACCAGGAGCATATAGCAAGATGATGTGATGGTCACAGGACACACAGCAGTGCCGGATAACCTGACAGCAACACACAAACCCATTCGGAATGCTGCAGGATAATGCTCACCCAAGGAATGTGACCCCAGGTCAGACACAGCAGAGGTGCTGGCAGCACTGACTGGATGCAGTGCAGGAGCTGACCCAGCTCAGTGTTAGAGAATCTTGCAGCCCCTGCCTTCCATGGCTGTCTCTCTGTCCCAGACATGTCCTACTGTCCATCCAGCAAGGCACACTCCTGGCCTGGGGCACATGTCCTTCCTCTCATTCTGCAGGACAGCATTTATAAGCCAGCACTGCCTCAAGGATGATAGAGAAGAGGGAGAGGGGAACAAGACCCCTCCACGTCCAGCGGCAGCACCGCACGTCACAGGATGTCACAGGACACAGCACACCCCATCACTTGCTGGTTTTTTTTGAGTTAATGTAACCCATCACATCCATGATGTTTCTAAGACCAACTTACAGCTATATTTACGCAGCCTGCATGTCACTACTCTTATTTTAATACTTCTTTAATAAAATCTCTCCAGGCCACCAGTGCGTCCCATGCACAATGCACCGAAGCTTCAAGAGAGGTGACAAACTGGCAGAGCACTGAGGGCAGTGTCCTGGCTTGGAGCGACTTCAGGACTGTCTTTGTGTTTGTCAGCTTGCTTGAGTTTCAGGCTGGTTTGTTCCAGTTAGATAATCCACAGTGCCTTCTTTTTGGCACAGAAACAAACACTCAGCACACGCCAAGCTCTGAAAAGCCTTCTGGTGCTGGTCAAACATCTGACCACGTTGCTGGCTCTCACCTGCTCGCTGGAGATATTGTGAGCAGAAACAGTTTGCAGAATTCCCTCTGCAGTGTGCACAGTCAGTCCTCTACCCTCCACCTCTCTGACACACCATGCAAGGTCCATCTTCTCAGTATGACTCAGCACAGACCACTACAGTATGATTTCCATTACTGGAAATAATGACTTTTAACATCTTCCTAACATTTAACTTCACACTAAAAATTTAGGTGTTTAACAACAGATCTGAAAAATCCCCACCAAGATATTTCAGTAACTGATCGCATTTCAGATGTTTTGCAGATGAAAGTTCCTCTGAAGTCAACAGAAAATGCAAATCTCTTGCCAGGTCTTCAGAAGAATTTCCAGTATTACATTCAGAGTATAACAATGAAGCAGATAAGTATCCATGTATTCCAGAACCTTTGAATTTAAAAAAACTCCCTTCCCAAATAGAGTCACCACTACTGCCACTGACAAAACATCACGCACAGAACACACAAAAAAACCCCTACACACACACTCCCTCTCTCCAAAATTTAGAAGTCTAAAACACCTTTTTTAACAACTTCACTGGAGCACTCCACATATTTAGAAATATATGCCTTAAAAAAAAAAACAACACTTGACACAGTAAAGCACACAAGAACACACCAAACAGCCTCAGTGCACCATCCACAACAAACTATCAAAAAACACCAAATAAATGAAGCAAAGGAAACCACCAGCCACTGTTAAATACAGCAAAAACCAGAGCAACAAGGTACTGAAACCAAAGTGCAGGCACCCAGGGAAGAGGAGTATGTTCCAGCAACCATCAGTAATAACAGTATTAGTAATTTATCTTTAACAAAGTTGAGCCTGGACTTATTATCTTTCAAAATATATCATGATAAATCAATTGGTTTGTGATCTATAGAAAAGCTGTCAGTAGCTAATAAAAGCCAGAAGTGTAGCTGGTATTTTTCAAAGACATCTAATTCTTCAAGTAAAGAAAAATTCACCAAAACACATCAAAATACTAAGGTTTTAGCACTACAGATAAATCTGCAAGAGGCTCAGTTCATTTGGTTGTGTAGCACGAGCACAAGCCCCTGAGACAGACACTTGGAAGCACAGAATTGTTAAAGTTGGAAAATACCTTTAAGACCATCAAGTCCAACCATTAACCCAACACCACCACCATGTTCACCACCAAACCATGTCCTCGAGTGCCATATCCACACATTTTTGGAACATTTCCAGGAGTGGTGACTCCACCACTTCCATGGGCAGCTGGAGTGCTCCCCCAGTTCCCTGCATAGGGGGGTGATCCTCTCCCTCTCATCAGAGCCGGATGCTAAGGGACAAAACAGCCTTTACTACCTTCCATTTTTGAGAGCTGGCAACATTACATAATATTTACGTAAGAAACCAAGCAGAGTAACATTGCAAATAAAAAGAGAAGTTAAAATGTTCATTTTTAATAATCAGTTACATAATTTGATATGTGGGGGGAACTGTTGTGTGGATTTTTTTCCCCAGTGCCTGACACTTTAATATCCTGGCTGTTCATCCAGACGAGGGAATGAGAGGCTGGAGAGCAGCCTGAGGAAAGGAACCTGGGAGTCCTGCTTGACGACAAGTTGTCCCTGAGTCAGCAGTGCCCTGGTGGCCAGGAGGGCCAATCCTGTCCTGGGGTCATCAGGGATGGGATTGTCACGCTCTGCTCTGACCTGGGGCGGCCTCACCTCAACATTGGGGCAGTTTTGGGTACCTCAGTATAAGAAGGATCTAAAGCTATTGGAGAGTGTCCAAAGGAGAGTCATGAGGACAGGGAAGGGTCTGGAAGGGAAGCATTTGGAGAAGCAGCTGAGGGCACTTGGTGTGTGCAGCTGGAGCAGAGCAGACTGAGGGCAGAGCTCAGCGGGGGCTGCAGCTCCTCCCGAGGGGCAGCTCCGATCTCTGCTCTGGGGGAGCAGGGACAGCCCCCAGGGAATGGCTGGAGCTGTGTCAGGGCAGGCTCAGGGTGGATCTCAGGGAAAGGTTCTTCCCCCACAGGCTGGTTGGGCACTGAACAGGCTCCCCAGGGCAGTGGGCACAGCCCCAAGGCTGCCAGAGCTGCAGGAGGGTTTGGACAACGCTCTGAGGGACAGGGTGGGATTGTTGGGGTGTCTGTGCAGGGCCAGGGGTTGGACTGGATGATCCTTGTAGGTCCCTTCCAGCTCAGGATATTCTATGATTCAAATGTACAGAGTATAAGGAAAGACCAGGCAGCTCCTTTCACCAGCTAACCCACCCAGAAGTTACATATTTTCTGTCTGTGCTACTCATCCTCAGCTCCCTTTACATACAATCAAGAAAGTCAGCCATTATTTTCTAGAACAATTCAATACTCCAGAGGTGTGTTTCTCCCTCTATGCACAGGGTGGACAGTTCAAACCCCACCTTGGAGCTTTAGATGCATCAGAACTCTGACCCTTCAAGCATTTGCAAAGACTGGAATGGCTATCAGAGGGCTCAGTTATTAGAACAACTTAAGTAAATTATTTGCCTAGTAAACTTGGAGACATTTTAGCATGACATCTCATTTGGTGAAAGATGAAATAACAAAAATATCTTAATCTTGGCCAGCAAGAAGGGAAAGGAAAAACACCTTCAGCAGAGATGCTACAGTATGGGGTGTTGTGTCATTTCACTGACAAGGAAACTGCCCAAACACAGCTGTAGCACAACTGGAGAAAATTATGATCCCAAACTAAGAACCATCTGGCAAACTTCACAGGGAGTCATCCAAATCAACAGCCAGGAAAAAAATTTTGTAAGAAATCATATTTTACAAGATGAAGTCCTATCAAAAGATCAGTGCCCACCTACAATTTAAGTTACACTTTAAGTATTCTACAAACTCTTCTCTCCGACACCCTCGGTTAAGCCTAACATTGGCTCTTTAATGAGACATAACACAATAACTGCAGGCACCAAAAAGCCTTTAAAAAGTCACTTCTTACCGAAAGGAGGTAGTCCATAGGTCTGGGTGGTCTGGGGGTAGATGGTGTAGGGCTGGGACTGCTGTAGTGCTTGGTACTGAGGCTGACCAGGGTAAGGGCTCATTGTCTCCGACACCGGTACAGAAAGGATATGTGCATATGGCCTTAGTGAAAAGAGAGAACAAAGGGCAGAAAGAACTATTTACTTCATGCATCTTTCATCCTCCAAACCAGAAGACACATTAAAAATGGCTTCAGAAAGAAGAAACTATTCAGATTGACACGTGCTCTGTACCATAAGCTCCTTGTGCTTCCCAAGGCAGGCTCTTGAGTTAACAGGTGCTGCCAGCAGTGACACCAGAGAAGCTCCCTCCTCTGGGATGGCAGGGCGAGTTGGGAAGGACAAACTCCCCATTCCAACAGGCATGAGCAGTTAGTCCCACTTACCATGCCTCCCCTACAGCTACTGCAATTGAGTAGTACGTGTAAAACCAGTGGGACACACACAGAGACTACACAAAAGCAAGCAGGGGGTTAAGGCCTATCCTGCTCCAATGGGCAGAACTACAAAAATCCCTAAACATGGTGAATGAATCTTATATTTCCCTTATATTTATTTATGTTCAATTTGTTTATTTGTCAAATATTATGGGTATTAACCACCAAGACTATTGTGAAGGAGCTTATTTATCCTTGTGATCATAAAACAACAGTCACTAAAGCCAAAGAGTGACTTCTGCTGGCTTCAGTGTCCACAGCAATTAGCATCTGCTGCCAGCAGAATGAAAGTGGGATTTACAGCATTAGAGAAATGCATAAAGATTACTTCAGAAAGAAGTAAGAGTTACAGAATTCAGTAACAATTGCTTGACTTACTTTGCAGAATATATTTGTGAGGTATAATCATTTGATGACCTTGGGATATAATCAGTGCATGTCATAACTGAAAAAAAAATAGTTTGTATAATTACAGAGGTGCTTTCAAAACTCAACAAATAAAGACAAATGTCAGTACCCACAGTACATTTCAACCAAGACACAGGATTTACAAAGTGCTCTGAATATCTGTTTCAAAGCAAATTCTCCAAACACACTGTTAAACCTGAACAAAAATGTTCTTCTTGCCAGCTCACAGCAGGTAGGATAGTCAGTCACACTATTCCTCCCCGTGTAACAGTGCTCTTTCTCTTTATCAGTTGGTACCATCAGTTCTTGCAACTGTCATGATAAAACTTTGATTTCAGTCCTGCCCGAAACCCTCCGTATATGCCAAAGGGGCTTCATCTGCACCAAGCACAACACTTCTGTGTCCTGGAGCAGAGATCAAATGCTTGTTTTGCCAAGCTCTCTTCTTCTCTTACATACTCTACCCCAGTATGGCTCCAGCAATCTGTCTTTCCTGTAAAAAGGAGTGGCTCAAGCTCCACAAACTTAACCCCACACATGCAATAAGCACAGCTGCAGTGCACAAGGCCCAGAGATTCCCCTAAAGAAATCTGGCAGTTCCACTTAACCAGATGTTTCCATTTTTCTGCTTGAATAAATCCACTGAAACTGGAAAGACGGAGTGGCTCAGTCTGCAAATCCAAGGAGGAAATGTTTGAAATGTTCTCCCTCAGCACAGCCTATGGCTCTGGTACACCCTGTGTGAGACAGCCCTCAGTTACAGATTACAGGTCGGGGTGCAGAAAGGGGCTTGAGTTGCTATAGCTTAACCCAAGAGCCATAAAAAACCCCCTGGATTCACATCAGCTGACCTGAGTAAATACTCAGCTATCCATCAGAATAGGAAAGCAAGGATGGGCAGGACCCCAGCACAGAATTTGGCTCCATGCAGCCCCACATGCCACCATCACAGTGCATGACACTGCTGTGAGCTCCAACTTTTTTTGACTATGTATCTGCACAGTACATGGGTTTATCAGTTTGGATCTACAGGCACCATACCCAAACCCTTAGTAAACACAGCTGCACTGCTGTGGATCCAGTTGATTCCTCTCTGGAAGCAGACAAAGCACCCAGAGTTCCACTCCTGCCCAGGAGGGGATCCAGGCTACAAGAGACCCCTCTCCCTCTGGAGTGACTTGATTACAGGCTTCAAAAAGGCATGTGGTCATGGATAACAGCATACTCTGCCTTGGGACTTGATCCAGATGCCAGTGATGTGCTACAACAAGTTGGGCTTTCCATATCTGAACAGTCCCACATTATTATTCTTGTATCACCACGTGGTTTAACATTTTCTCAGTTACACCCACTGAGTAAGACAGTTGACACAGGCAACCCTAACCTTAAACGTGCATTCTGCCACCTCAATACTCTCTCAGTGTCACCTGAAGACAACCATCTGAGAAGTACAAACCATCAGCCACACGCTCTGAACCTTCTGAATGGTCCATGAATCACCTTCCTCTGCTCCTCAGCGTTTGCCTTTACTCATGGTGTGAAACCCACACAGCACAAGTGCAGAACAGGAAACACAAACTGGGAGCTTTCAGACCTAAAGGCTTTGACACTTGTCAGATGTTCCAGCATCTCTCCTGCAAAAATGTCTAGGTCTGTGGGGCTTTTTAAAGCATGTCAATATTCATCTGAATAGTAATGTAGTAATGATATTTCTAGAATTATTATTTTTAAAATAGCATATAAAGAATTAGGTAATGGTGTACAAAAGCAAAAAACCCCACAATTATACTGCATGCAATTTCTGGGATTTGTTAATGGCTTATCCAGTTAGGCAACATATTTTGCAGGCTAAAACTTCTGGTAACTCCTGCAACATCACAGCACATGGATTAAAATAGCAAAGATAAAATCTATTACAGTGGAAAGTTATACATTTCGTGTTTCCAGTCAGGATAAGCTGATTTACACTTCGAAATATGTATCAGTAGTCAAAGATCTTCCACACAAGAATCTGACTTTCCTAATAACCTCCAGCCCTCTTTTTCCAGAAGAAAGGATACATTCCCCTTCTCACTTACTATGTAGTCTTTGTACTTCCTGCCTGTTTCCTCTCTGGTTATTTCCTAGGGCCTTTCTGCAGACATTCAATACAGTTCAGAGTCTATTGCTACAAGACCCAAGCAGCTGTGTAGAGATAATGATTTATAAACCACCTTTTACAATAGGCATTATAATTGATCAACTCAACCCTCAAGAAAAATCATGCCTAAGGCAGATAGGACACGGCAGTACCCAGAAGCAAGCTGGGGGACAGTGACACAAAAGTATCTGTTAGAAACAGCTATTTGCTTACCATCAGGCATTAACACTTTGTAAACACTACAGCAAACATTCACTTTACAAGTGATAGTGAGAGCAGGCTAAGGATTACAAGCAGAACACAGAGCTTGAAGCAAGGGACCAGTGGAAGAAAAGAGGAAAGACAGTGGGAGCAGAACTCTGGAGATACTCACTCTCACTGGACATGGGAAGGTTTGAACCAAGGCTTGAAGATTCAGGTTTCTGATCGCTGATTTCTGTGTTGCTCACATGACTGCCAGGACAAACAAAGGCTCAGCATTAGCATTAGGAACTGTTAAATTAACATCCTCGGGCATCACAACCCCCAGATTCAGCCTTTCTGAGCAAGTCAAACTGACTCTTCATGGAATCCAGCCCTGTGCTCTTCGACATTTCACACAGGGATCCCGAGAGATCCACAGCTGGAATTAGACATTAAACCATACGGGGTTTGCACGGTCAGGTTTCGGTGGGGGGAACTGCAGGGGTGGCTTCTGTGAGAAATTGCCACAAGCTTCCCCCCTGTCCAATGAAGCCAAAGCTAGCTGGCTCCAGGACAGACCTGCTGCAGATGGAGCCCACCAGCGACAAGAGGGAGCACCTGTGGGATAAGGCGTGTATTCAAGAAGGGGAAAAAAACACAGCTGAAGAGAGGAGTGAGGATATCTGAAAGAAATGGCCCTGCAGAGCCCAAGATCCATGGGAAAGGAGGGGAAGAGGTGTTCCAGGTGCCAGAGCACAGCTCCACCTGCAGCCCACGGGAAGGAGCAGCCCAGGGGAGGATGGAGCTGCCAGGGCACTGCTGGTTGGTATCATACACCCCTGGGCTCCTCCAGCCCCCCAGCCTGCAGCAGCCAAGGAGCTGCTGCCAGGAGTGGTACGTGTGGCCCTGCTGTCACAGGCTCCTGTGCCCATGGGCACTGCCTGACTGTTGTGGTGGCCCTGAAGACCAGTGTTGAAGCACCCTTGAATTGGGAGTCACTTCTGTACTTACATATTTGCAGGTTACTGGATTGTTTTGGATTTGTCCTGAAATGTTTCAGTTCCATGTCAGTGTGTCTTTGTTCATGCATAAAGTAGGAAGTACAGGTAATTTCTGAATTAAACTGCTTTTTCCTCGATGATTGACTTCCTGGCCTTAGTTTTATTATTGGTAGTTCTGCAACACAGCTTTTCATGAGGTTTTGAGGCATCTGTGTGTTGTTCTGACATTCTCAGGCTGCAGTTCTCAAGGTTAAGGAGCCAAGGTAACTACTTATTGCTGCTGAGAGGGAACTTATGCTTACAGCTCAGGTGTGCACCAAGTAAAGGGCTTTCTGTCTCCCTCCATGACCTGAGTCTACTCAGCAACCCAGCAAAAATAACTGCACAGGTTTTGTGTTGGATGAGCAAATTAAACTCTCAGGGAGAGCTTAAGGGTGCCTGAGATGACCGGCACAGGGAGCACAGGGTCATATGAGAAATAAACCCAAATCTTAAAACACCTTCCTCCCACCACTCCCTGCTTCCTGGGCTCACTAAACTCCTGATTTTCTCTCCCTCCTCCACCCCTAGCAGTGCAGGGGCATGGCAGAAACACGTCCAGTAAATTCTTTTAAACTAATCCATTGGTCAAACTTAAAATAATGTATAGTTTCATCAAACTTGAGCCAGAATATTTAAACAGAATATTTATTCAAGTTAGAAATGCAATTTTACCCCTCCTTCCTCTTCTATTTTTCAATACTATACGAGGATGTTTACACTCAAATCTGGAGCTCCTGGCACCCATAGGGAAGCAGTGACAACCCATGTTTGCAGTGATACATGGAAGGAGAAGGGACAGCATCCACCCCAGTGTGTTCAGACCTGTCTGTGCTGCCTTTGGATCCTTTGTAGCCAACACAGGGGAAAAAACCCTTGTAGGATGTGATTCCTCTAACCTCAGACTAACCAGAAAGGAAGCCTGTGTGATGAGCTCAGATTTCTAACTTTTGGAATGTACCACGTCCACTCCTGCAGAAATGATGGTGTTTCCTCCTCGCTCCTATTGGGGTGGCAGAGACTCCCAAAAGAAATCTTTTTCTTCACTGTACTGACTGTACTCAGAGGAACAGAATAAATCCTAACATAGCTATTCTCATTATAAGTAATAATAATAACCCATTCCTAAATACAATAACCCGCAAAAAGCATGCACTGAGGCTAAAAAAAGTATCACACAACAGCTTTAAACAGGAGAGGCTACCAATTCAAGAGGGTTTAATTTCTCAGGGCAGTTATTCACATAGTTGTATCGAGAACCATAGCACAGATATTATTAAAATACACTGAGTGTCACCAAAATAAATGCATGCCATATGAAGTGCCTGTCAGTCTCATCACATTCTGTGAAAAACAGGCCTGATGATGCATTAAGACTCTTTATAGCCACTATTATAAATGCTTAATACCAAAGGGCCAGTTAATTATTGTTTTATTTGGAACTCAATCTCAAAATTATATTAAACACAAAAGTGACTATACTTGCCCGAGCTCTGTGAAAAATAAAACAACAGGCAAGGTTCTAAAATGAAAGCTTTATAATGATGAAAGGGCACTAAGAACTCCTCCACAATAAAATCAAATTCAAAATCCCATACCTCAGGCTCTGTTCCCTGGATTCCTGCATCTTGGCTTTTTTCACCTGCAAAGAATAAAAATGTTTAGAGCCAGGACCAAGGGGAGCAGTCCTTGAGGGAACCTCCATCACCACAGCGCTGCACTGGAACTCCTCTGCAGGAGGATCTACAGCACAAGGCACTGTGCCTTGTTCCCCCATGACAGGGGACCTTCCCCCACACCAAACCATGCCCTTGGTGTTGTACAGAGAGCAGTATTTTAAATTGTTCTATGGCAGGAGGTTGGAACAAGATGATGTTTAAGGTCCCTTCCAACCCAAATCGCTCTATGATTCTGTGATATGAGTTTTCCTTTAAGTCAATTGTTAAAAGTCACTTAAAAAATCAATAAATATCTGGACAAATTTTCATCCTCTCTTTAAATGGTCTTGGAACATGTGATAGTCAGTGTGAGTGTTCAAAGAGCAATTCTGGATTTCATTTTCTCATGTTCCTGCCTCAGCTGGCCAGCCTTGGCTTGTCCCCACTTCAGCAGGTTTTTAAAAGAAATTCTTGCTAATGTCTTTATGCTGTGCAATCACATTTACAAAACCTTGACCCTTCAGTGAGATGCAAACTCAATGTCTACCCATCACCAATCGATACAATTTATGCTTCAAAGTGAAGTGAGAGGGAACAGTTTTAAACAGTCTTTCTTAGCCTTTCAAAGCGTGTTCTGTTTCCTGCCACGTCTCTTAAACACATTTAATGCAGGAACAGCGTGATTTGGGTGGATGTCTGGGGCACAAGGAGGGAGTGCTGTCATGGTTGCTTCACTGTCAGCTGGGCCCTGCATGATCCTACTCCAACTCTGATTCCTTCCTGGCCACCTGCACATCCTTCTCCTGCATGAACCTTAAAAAAGGCTGTGGAAACCTCTTCAAATGCCTTCTTTCAACACACACTCCCCTCTGAAAACCTTTGGGAAAATGCTGAAGGATTTTTGTTCCCTTTCAAGCGACAAGATCACAGTTTGAAGACTCTTCATAGAATCACAGGATGGTTTAGGTTGGAAGGGACCTTCAAGACCATCCAGCCATGGGCAGGGACACCTTCCACCAGCCCAGGTTGCTCCAAGCCCTGTCCAGCCTGGCCTTGGACATTTCCAGGGATGGGGCAGCCACAGCTTCTCTGGGCAACCTCTGCCCCTGGCCCTGTCCCTACATGCCCTTGCAAACAATTCCTTACCAAGTATCTTGCAGGCCCCCTTCAAGTCCTGAAAGGATGCAAGAGTGAATTCACTCTTTTTAAAAATAAGAGGGAAAAGAAAGATAAAAATAAAAACAAATAAAAAAAATTAAAACAAGAAAATTATGGGGTCTACCTCAGGGATTCCTGTTTCAGCTTTAGCAACTGTAGATGTTCTCTCTAAGCTGTTCTGCTGCTTGCTGTTTGCTCCTATGTTCATCTTTCTATTTTCTACCAGTTTGCAGCTTACGCTGATTTTTGAAAAAAAAGGAAAAAAAAAGGAAAAAAAAAGGAAAAAAAAAGGAAAAAAAAAGGAAAAAAAAAGGAAAAAAAAAGGAAAAAAAAAGGAAAAAAAAAGGAAAAAAAAAGGAAAAAAAAGGGAAAAAAAAGGGAGAAAAAAAAAGGGAAAAAAAGGGAAAAAAGGGAAAAAAAGGAAAAAAAGGAGAAAAAAGGAAAAAAAGGAAAAAAAAAGGAAAAAAAAAGGAAAAAAAAAAGGGGAAAAAAAGGGAAAAAAAAGGGAAAAAAAAGGGAAAAAAAGGGAAAAAAAAGGAGAAAAAAAAAGGAAAAAAAAAAGAAAAAAAAAGGAAAAAAAAAGGAAAAAAAAAAGGAAAAAAAAAGCCAAGTGACACATTCTAGCCGATCCCAGCTCCCAAAACACAAATTTCTGTCTCTGAAAATCCAACTAATTCTTTGTGCTGGCAAGCTCTGTTCCTGCCTCAGATCTCCCAGCACTGCAGTTCAGCTGTATTTACTGAGCCACAATCACAGTTCTCCTCCTGCCATCAGGAGAGCAGGTGCTGTACAGCTGAATCCAACTCAGACTGGCACGGCAGAAAACCAGCAGGACACTCCTCACTCCCAGCTCAGCACTGAGCGCTGCCCGAGCGGGGCCCAGCCGGGCGTGAGCAGGGGCTGCACACACTCAGGGACAAGCAACGTCACTGCAGCCTCTTGCCAATCTGAATTAAGAAATGTTGGGTCTTTCTGGAGACCTTTCCTGGTGCTCTCCCCACCAAGGAGCCTGGCTTGCCCTTGCTGTCTGATGAGAGTGAGTGGTCGTTCCAAACACACAGCAACGCGCCGAGTCTGCAGTGAGGGTCACACAAGTTCAATGCCCCTCATGAAAAACATTTTGGTCATTTTCTAGCATTAAGAATTAAATAAGTATTATAAAAATCAATTACACCCACCCACAATGCATTCAGTAAGCGAGAGATTACAGGATCACCTCTAAAAACTAATCCAGATTAAGAATTTATTATAAATTAACAGCTTTTTGGCCATGAGAAGGTCAGGGGGTCACTTCCAATTGTTTTCTCCCAAACTTCCCTTTGTTCTCTTATTTCCCACGTCTCATTCTGTTTTCCAGCCTTGTGGCATGCACAAAAACTATTTCCATTCTAATTCAGACTTGAAGAGGGAAGAAACACTCAAAAACCAGGCTCTGTGACGTGCCAAGCAGCACCACAGGGCTGAGTGGTCAGTCTAATAGAGAGTTAGAAAAAACACACTTTGGGAACAACTATTACCATCAGTCCCTACCAACACAAGAAATGACCTGATTTTTTTAAATAATTTTTTTAAAAAGTAAAATACATTGAACTCAAAGTCTGATGACTTCTCTACAGGCCCCTTTATGGCTTCAGTTATGCACAGTTTAATATAAACATTGTTTTCTGAAGTAAATTACTGATCTTATTCCTGCAATTAAGAAAAACAAAATCATTTGGGAAAGAAAACAAGTGTGCATGATGTCAGTGATGGGCTACTCAGCTGACAGGATTTTGCAAACCTCACTTCAGTTTTCTTTTTTTTACATCAGGAAAATTCACTTGTTTCAGGAATGGTCTCACTATAAAAAAAAAAACAAACAAAAAAAACCCCAACCACAACAAAAAACATCTTCCTTTCCTCCTGCAAGAATGTGCCACTATACCCAAAATACTGCCTCACTTACTGTCTGTGATCAGTGTAGTCCGATAATCTGCTGTAGAATGACTGACTGGCATTGGGTAAGAAATTAGGGAGAAAATCTTCAGCTGAAAATTACAGCACAATCTGCCTAGAGGATGCTTCCAAGTACTGACAATTAGCTGTACCCTATCTCTCATGCCCTGAAGAATAAAGGCAGCTTTCATCACACGAGGATGTAATTAAAGATACTTCCTTTTTTTAATACAGATAATTCATTTTTAAATCCTACAAAAAGCTGGAGTTCAAACTATATGATTGTGCTGCTCGTTATACATTTTGTGCATATTACTCAGGCCCATCGTCTGCAGGTTGTGGCAGGCAAGGGTCTGAACAATTGTAAACTTACATTTCCATTTCATTTGACTTTCATAAAGTCCTAAAGTTGTACAAATGACATTACCATGTATTTTTTAGCTAGTTTAACTGAACAACATTAAATTCTCACATTAAAAAAGCATCAAAACCTTTCCAATGAGAACACCCCCAAAGCGCCCTCAGTACATTATCCTGGTTTTGTGTGCAGTTGACAAGGTCTACAAAACTTCAATAAGCTTCACTCTCAAAGTAACTTGGCAATTTCTTACTGAGTTTCCATCGAGTTTAATTTGGAAACACAGCATTAATACAAACATTTCTACTTAATTCCTATGCTATTATGTTTTAGATACACTAATTCAATCCATCTCATACTGCACTGATAATTGCTTTACCCAACACTTCTGTGCTAATACCAGTTATTGATAATGCAAATAGCACTGCAAATACTACACAAATATGTAGCAATTTTAACCTTCAGACATGCTTCCCTACTCCGACACACTGTTAAATTAAGCTTTAAAATATGCTTTCTACCAGTGGAAACAATGGATCACAGGATCTTTTCAAGATCTCGAGCACAACAAGAATTAAAAACTACATACCCTGCAATAACCAGCATGTTGATTCTGTCCCCAAAACAGTGAATTTTATTTTCTCTACAACAGGCTTGAAATAGTCTGGTTTTCTGAGCATAACAAGTAATTATTTTGCATACAAACATTATAGAGTTCAAGCACACATAACTACTGCCTTATTACTATGGCCTGTACAGTTATAGTAAATAAATGTACAGCATATTTTACTAACAGCAAAATGCTCTTTCTCCTCTGAATAAATAGAATAAGCCTTCTTTTCCAATATTGATTAAAATAACTGTATGCTGAATTTGTGAGATCACCTATTTGTCTTGTATTTTCATTTTTAGCCTTTTTAAATATACTTACTGGTTGTTCGGGTAAGTCTTGTGGCTCTTCCATGGGTATTACTATTTCAATGCTTCAGTGATTCAAAGCGTGTGTTCCTCGGCAGTCTTCAAGGCCTGTCAAGAAAAGGTGTTCATAGCTTTATGTACTTTTTGGGGGCTTATCATGTAGGCTATCAGAACATTAATTGTTACATACTCCTCCCACAAAACCCGTGTTGCCATCTCCCTAATAAAAGACGAAATTCACTTAGGGAAAGATTTCATAAACAAGGGATTTAGCTTTAAGCTTCAAAGATACAGATTTTTTACGCACATGGTACATTTCTACATCATTTACTTGGGCCACGCTGACCGCAGAAGCTCACATACTAATCAGACACGTGCACCATGATTTTAAAGACACTGTAAATGATCAAGTCTGGTATACTAGGTCAGTAAACAGCATGATTCAATCTAACCTGTTTAAATGTAGAACATTTATATAAGAATCAAAAAAAAAAAAAAACCAGGACAACACTGTACACCTAAATGCATTTACACGTGGTGCTGTTCCTTGCCAAATTCACAAAGCCAGTTCGTTATTTCAATTGCACTTTTCAAAAAGAAAAGTTTGATGACATTTTATAAAATCATTTTTATTTTGGAAGCGTTTAGCAAAGAGATCTTACACACTACACCACAGAGCTGCTACCTCTCAGGAGTTTAAAATCATGAGAAGGACATTTTGCAGATTATTTTCACAACCTGATTAATTTTTGCAATTTGTTGGGCAAAAGATAAAGGCCCATGTCCTCCTGGCTTCCCCCTCTGCCCACCTAATGTGCACGAGCCATGTGACGTGTGTGTCTGTTCTTTCCCCTTCTCATTTTGATGCCACTTTATTAAAACCAACCCCAATCTCTTCAGAGCAGCCTCCCCTGAGCTGCCCCAACAGCAAGAGGTGTCTCCTGTGCCACCCCAGCAGCGCCCGCTCTGCCACACACACGTGGCGCGCTCCTGCACACACAGCACATCCTCAGGGGATAACAGAAATCAGAAGAAATGCTGCAAAACACTAGGTGGGTTGGAAGAAATTAAATCCAGTGCCTTTCTGTCATAGGCACAACCTATTCCTGCCTCCACAGCCCCAAAACTCTGGTTGTAAATCTCACTGGAAACGTGAAAGGCCGCTCCTTCCTCTAGGACTTTCTGCTTTCCCATCCTGTCAGGAGCATCCAGGCACCTTCCATTCATGGAACTGCCCCCACATAAAGTGACCAAACTAGTTTACAGAAACAACTTTCCAGCGTCCTGAAAACCACAGCTCTGTTCCCCCCACCGGCCCCTGCCAGACCTACTTAACCTGCCCACACGTGCAGCCCGCCCGTGGCAGAGCCCCACGTGCCAGCCACAGGGATGCTCTGCAGCCTGGAGCAATTTCATATGAACCATGAAAACACAGAGGGTTTCTCCCTTCTTTGAGGACAGGTCTTAATTGGCAGGGTGTATCATATATGCCAGGGTAAAATTTCATTGAGGGTTTGAGGATTTTGTAAGGTTGCGACCCCTAGTCAAAGCTACTTACTCTTATTGCCTGAACTGCAAGGCAACTGAATTCAAAATTAGTCTGTTCCATAATTCACGAAATGACTCAATTCACAACACACAAGAAAGTGCACAATACAAAGCACTACTGCTACCTTTTACAGTTTTTTCTTCATCTGTTTCAATCAGCCTCATTTTAAATCTAAATCTTATTTCCTTTTTACTGTTTTGGTAGGAATACAAGAGAATAAGAGGAAAATCAGGACTGAAGAGAAATTGCAGCACTCACAGATTATAAACAGAAGCACAGAATAAAATGGCCAAGAGCAAGAAGATTTAAAATTGATACCAAGAGGTCCCGACCTGTCCCTCACTTTTGTTATTTGATGCTGGTTTTTGTGTAATTTCTCAGAAAAATCCCAGATGAAACTCTTCGGTATGGAAAAATATTTCACATCCCACTGGTCCATACAGCAGCAACTTCCCATTCCATGCTTTACTTAAAAGCTGTGAGTAGTTCTTTAATTTTGACTCCAAGAAGGATTTAAATAATTACAAGACAAAAAGATTCCCGGAGTCCCACTGGAATATGTTACACTTGTGAATCAAACTCTCTTCTCAAACAAGTTGGAAGCACCTGGAAGCAGATGACTGAACCAAAGCAGACGAACAGTAAGCTCCTGCCTCGATGACAAGTGAGAACTTGGCCTCTGGTGGCTTCACACCTTCTCCAGGGACACCCTGCACTGAAGGTGTGTCTGAGGCTGCACGGACACAGCACAAGCAGCAGCTGTGTCTCAGTGACAGGCGGGCACTGAGCCCCACGCCTGAGAGTGTGGGGTGAGGGCAGCCCCTCCACAGCACGGCACTCCTGCTGCTGAAGGGCGAGCTCCTGCCCATCCCCACCTCCAGCAGCCCAGTCCTGCCTGCCTCACACTCCCTCCTTCACGGCCACCAAAGGCTTGTGTGGCTCCACAGCGCTCTGGATCTGGAACCTGACCCTCTGCGAAGGGAAAAGGAAGAAAAAGGAAAGAAAGGGAAACCAGAGGGACCCAAGCTCAACCTTTTTGCGAAGTTGGTGTCAGAGCAATCACTCTGGCCTTGCACAGTCCTGTGCCAGGGGAGCCAGCAGGATGGGCTCAGGCAGAGCACATGAACAGAGCAGCAAGAGGTGTCTCCTGTGCCACCCCAGCAGCGCCCGCTCTGCCACACACACGTGGCGCGCTCCTGCACACACAGCACATCCTCAGGGGATAACAGAAATCAGAAGAAATGCTGCAAAACACTAGGTGGGTTGGAAGAAATTAAATCCAGTGCCTTTCTGTCATAGGCACAACCTATTCCTGCCTCCACAGCCCCAAAACTCTGGTTGTAAATCTCACTGGAAACGTGAAAGGCCGCTCCTTCCTCTAGGACTTTCTGCTTTCCCATCCTGTCAGGAGCATCCAGGCACCTTCCATTCATGGAACTGCCCCCACATAAAGTGACCAAACTAGTTTACAGAAACAACTTTCCAGCGTCCTGAAAACCACAGCTCTGTTCCCCTCACCGGCCCCTGCCAGACCTACTTAACCTGCCCACACGTGCAGCCCGCCCGTGGCAGAGCCCCACGTGCCAGCCACAGGGATGCTCTGCAGCCTGGAGCAATTTCATATGAACCATGAAAACACAGAGGGTTTCTCCCTTCTTTGAGGACAGGTCTTAAGGGGCAGGGTAAAATTTCATTGAGGGTTTGAGGATTTTGTAAGGCTGCAACCTCTAATTAAAGCTACTTACTCTTACTGCCCGAACTTTTCAGCCATGGCCATAGTAAATTTTACCATCTACTTGATGTTTCACTTTGATGAAGCAGAGACATCAGTCTCGGTGATACATGTACAGCTACGCGGCCTTTCCATCTGCATCGCCCACCCAGTCAGGAGGTTCTCCTGCAGAGCAGCCACAGGGCTTCTTGTGCCAGGCATAAGCATGGAAAGTCCTTGGACCACAGGCAGGAACCTCTGCCTGCCATCATGTCTTTGCACGGAGTCCATGTGTGCCTCTGTCCTCCTGCACAGAGAGGACGAGTGAAGCTGAGACAGCTCCAGCTCGAGGCCACGGGGAGGAGGATCTGGGAGCAGCTGCTCCTGCCTCACTCATGCCCTGAACAGCCCCCTCCAACACAGCTAATCCCCTGCTGCCCATCAGCCAGCCCCAGCCCTTGGGCAGCAATATGCCCCAGGTGCCTCCTCATCCAGCAGCAGAGGGTCTGCATTGCCCAGGGCTTGGGTTTCCCAAAAAACAAACGCAGCACCTTGCACTGCTCAGCCTGAGTTACCACAGAGGAACCCACTGAGACATCAGCTCACCAGCAACAAAGGTAATTTTTTAAAATTTAAAATAAACAACACCTTTTTTTGGGGGAAATCATGTCAAATCTTGAAATTAGATTTTTAACTTGTATAAAACTCAAGGTAACTGCACTTCAGGTAATCTTATCACACAGTTTATCATGGAACATTTTTAAACCCTAAGTGACCAAAACAGCAGAGGTATCAAAGCAGATCTTTGATATGTTCAGTTCTGCAGAGTCCAAACTGCTGCAGTCACATCCATGGGGTGCCAGTGATGGCCACGGCTGCTCCCTGTCCCACCAAGGTCCAGATCCCCAAGGGGACTGTGCCTGCTGAGCTCCAAGGAGAAGGAAACAGTGATGAGCAACTCTGGGGGCAGCTGGGGTTTGTCATGTTTCTCATCTACATGCCTATTCTTATTTCTGTGTGAAGGAGGTCTCAAAAGCAGACTCAGGTGGTGAGAACGCTTCTGCGGGTCACTGGACTTGTGAATGAGAAAATGAGTACAAAATGGAACAAAGTGCACAAGAAGCCACCAAATGAGCTGTAGCAATGAAAGAAACATTCAGAAAAATGAATCCAGTGTTCTGCTTCTGGAAACCAGCAAAGTACCACGCTTTTTCCCCTTATGGTCTGATTTTTGTTCATTACCTGATGAAAACTATTCTGTAATATGTGAATTAAACACTATTTTTTTATTTCATCTAGAATTGTTTTGAATAACCATCCTGTTTAATTCCAACTTGCACAGAACACCACCAATGCAAAACACCAAGGATCGGTGTTTTGCGTGTCATATTTTGCTTGCCCAATTTATGGAGCCACACTATCTAAACTTCAAACCAGAAGGCATCAGAGCAGAGGAAGGGGCTGTAGAACTGCTCCCAGCAGCTGCCTGCCTTCTGCTACGCACATCTCGATGCTCAGTTTACCTGGCAAGTGATGTACAGTTTCTTGTACTAAATCCTGTTTTAAAAATCCTAAAATACAAAGTCCAGCTTGATCAGATCCTCTTAAACTAGATACTCTGGATAGAATTTCCGAAAGCTGCCCACTATGAGCACCAGGTAAGACTGCTATTTACTTTTATTTTGTGCTTTTCAAGCCCATCTGCATTGGTTTTGATTATAAAATTTCGGCTGACAAACAATTCTCCCAGGCTGCAAATAATTAAACTCCGGATACTGTGATAAAACCAACAAGCAGTAATTAAACTGATTAAAAAAAAAGGCTGATTGACTATGGTCTTATATTACT